CGATAATTCTTTACAAGGGAATGTTTCTTATTAAAACACAAGCAGCGCCTAGGCGTCGATGGGGGGGGGTCAATCCAGTGTTCTCAGGCTATGTACAGCCAGTATCCTGTTTATGTAAAAACCCTACGTTCCCGAATCACAATCAGACAATTAATTAGTATATTTGCTGTGTCTAGCAATTGATCATAGAATTAGATGTTGCGAAAACTATGGGAACTTGTACCTGTCTGTTTATGGATAGGCTGGGAAAGAACAGCAGAGAGAATGGTACATTCGATTGAATATGCTTGTTTTGCCCAATTGTGTATTAAAATGCCCCTCATTTATCATATGTATGGTCACAAGTTAAGTCGGCGATAATTTGTATTGACTTAACTTGAAACAAATTACTCCGAAATCCAAATACTCATCGAAAAGTAAGGTTATCTTTATATTAAGCTAATACAAAATAAATATATAAATAGGCCTGATGTATCAGTGTTTTCAAAGTTTATTGCACGTTTTATCCTTGAAACGCCTTTCTTTTTCTTATCATGATATGTATTTCCTTCACTTAGGATCAATGCGTCGATTAGCATTGCCTGTAACTGATTTATATTTTCAAAAGGCGGCATGAAATTGCCAAAATGTTTAAATAAGTCAATGTGTCAGCGTACATACAAAATAGTCTGTTTAATATTTGCTACATGTACTTGTTCCAAACAGTCTGCGAAAGAATGATTAAAAAATATATCAATTAAAAGTATCAGAGAAAATACTTGCAATCGTTAAAATACTGTAAGTATTGCTATAGGTAATTAGGTTAGTTGTTTACACATAATTATGTTGTTCAGTGTGCCAAGAGCGTGTCAAGAGATTCCATTAATTGTCACAGGGCGTGTAAAGACTTTTTGACATGGTCTTTACACGTCTTTGCACTGCGTGTGCCAAGAAGTGCAAAGAGGTGTAAAGAGTTGAATTCATCGCGTGTCAAGAGGTGTAAATAATTGGCACGTTTAGAAACCCGGCGTGTAAAGACCAGTTTCTAGACGTGTCAAGAGTTGGAATCCCATATTTCACGCAGTGACTGTGAAAAGGAGATATGAACATTGAAGGAAACGTGAAAGAAACATTGTATGATATTCATGTGTAAATAATATAATAATTCTCAAACCTGTACAGTTTCATTACTAGTGCATGGTAATATATTAATAAATAAAGAGTATAAATGAATAATTGAGGACATCGTTATATTATAATTAAGAAGAGTAACTGTTGTAATAAAGTTCATTCAAAGTTTGCAAATACCAACTTGTGTTGAAATACATTCATTTACAGTGAGATGTTAATGTGGGAAAGTTGAACATTGCTAACAATGAAAATGACATACTGAGTGTATACCAATGCCATGATACATTGAGATGTATATGTGGAAAAGATAAACATTGTTAACAATAAAAATGACATACTGAGTGTATACCAATGCCAATGCCATGATACAGTGAGATGTATATGTGGAAAAGATAAGCATTTCTAACAATGAAAATGACATACTGTGTGTATACCAATGCCAATGCCATGATACATTGAGATGTTTATGTGGAAAAGATAAACATTGTTAACAATGAAAATGACATACTGTGTGTATACCAATGCCAATGCCATGATACAGTGAGGTGTCTTTGTGGGAAAGATAAACAATGTTAACAATGAAAATGACATATTACTGTGTATATACCAATGCAAATACCATAATACAGTGAAGTGTCTATGTGGGAAAGATAAACATTGCTAACAATGAAAATGACATACTGAGTGTATACCAATGCCATGATACATTGAGATGTATATGTGGAAAAGATAAACATTTCTAATAATGAAAATGACATACTGTGTTTATACCAATGCCTATGCAATGATACAGTGAGGTGTCTATGTCGGAAAGATAAACATTGCTAACAATGAAAATGCCATACTATGTATACAAATGCCAATGCTATTATGCTCGTAAGATGTTTATCTGGGGTTGTTTTGAATTTGCTATACTGTGTTTTCTTATCCTTAATGGTATCTGCACCATCCGATCATACACTCCCCTCCATAAGTTTGGCAACTTTTGTAGATTTTTGTGTGATCGACATTTCAACCTGGAAATTTTGACAATACGTTTGATTATATAACTTCACTGATATATTGAGCAAAGTCATGAAATCATGGTATTATGTTCGTCTGGTGTTTGCAGTCATCTTTACGTAGCGTTGGACTTGTACTTAAATATAGGATCGATGTTGTTAAGGCTTAATCTTTGAGAGGTTCAATCGAATGCCGGTTTCAAGGCAAGCTATTAGAGAGGTTAAGCTACACGTATTAAACAAAACCAGTAACGTGAACTCAATGCGCTCGCAGATAAATGACGCAAGGTTTGTTTATTTTCTGTGGTCCAGCGTGAAGTTTACAGGTCTTTACACGAGATTATCATATTGGTGCAATTTACAGACGCGTATATGAGTAAATGACAACTTCAAATGTGATCGCTTTGTTTCATTTCGTAATATAAATAGGAAGGGCTAGTTTAATATCCGGGGCTTAGTACAGTATGTACACTAAACGAAATGAAATGACAACCAGAGCCTTCTATTGCCTTATCACTACATTTGATTTGCGAACGATGCATTTTCTTTGTATTACGCCCTCCCTTGATATGAGCAAAAATGATACTAAAGTGATTAATTGTGTTTGAATATGAAATAAAGCAAAAAAATTTTTAAAAAAACATAAATTTATTCGACTTACTGTATTTGAACCCAGGCCCAACGGACACGAGTCCCTAAGTTCTAACCATTACACGGCCATAGAGCCATGACACTTACAGTTACCACATAAATATAGCTCGACGTCCACTGGCATGGTTTCAGACGTGTAGCTTAACAGAAAATCTTCTTAAACGTGTACTTGAGCGTGTACTTACGCGTTCAGGTTCACGGTTTGCATTAGAACGTGTAGCTTAACCTCTTTATTGTAAGTGTTAGTTGACGGGAAAGTTGACGATATATGTCACGGCTTTCGCTAATATGGCAAAGGATGCGGTACCAGCTGTAGTGACTAGAATACCTCGATCTAAACAACTCATCTTGATTTTCCCGTCTGGGAGTAACTGTTCAAGTGCATTGGTTCACCGTTGGTACCTCCTTGAAGATCTTTAGAGTAGGTTTCTGGTCTCTCTATAGTCGCACAGCAACAACGACTCTCTTGAAATATTCCATTGGTTCAGGGACAGGCTTACGGGTTACCATGTAGTAGAGCTTCTGGGTGAGTGGCAGTTGAGGAGGCGGAGCTTCACGACCGAGAGCCCAGAATCGCAAGATGTCATATTTGTCAGGGTTTACACTCACCTAAAGAAATATTATAAAAAATGACATAATAAGTCATTCAAAGAACATTGTGAAACAATAATTCAATGCATTATAATATAAAATGCCTCCTAAATACTACAAAGTCCACAGAAAATTAGGTCACTTTAAAATAGTTTTGACATTATAATAAAAACATTTTGGGGTAGTGCATGTTTTAAACAAGTGAAAGGCCACCAATTTGTATAGATTATGTTTACAATTAGGCAGAAAACATAAGACAAAAATTAATTCCATACCAGAACTCCCTCACTTGCAGTATGTTCAGCTAGGGCCTTTTCTACAATGTGTTTGGGAATTTCACGAAAATTGGCTTTTTCCATGATGCTAGTCAACTTCTGCAAGAGCCAGAATTCATTGTCAATTCTCTCTCTGCGGTTCCATTGTCGAGTTGCAACTGTGTCTTTGTCAGGGTTGATGGGGTCAAAAAGACTAAATATAGTGTTTTTTTAATGTAGAATTATAGATAGAATTAGTAAAATACTGTATTTGGACTTCATTTCAGATGGGCTTCTTAGAATATTTAAATAACCATAAAAGCAATTTTTCAAAAAGGTTTTATTTTGTCAGTTAAAACACATCTAAAATGTATTTCTCTGTATTTTTTCTGAAAATAATTATTAAAGATATTTTTGTAAACTTTTGGAGCTCAGCCTGCACCTAGGAACACCATGTTTTCAATACCTTCAGTTCCTGTCTTACGTCTAAGAACTTATTCTCCACTGCACTGTCCAGGTGACCAGAGAACTCTTCAAACTTCTTGCGTTCCTCCTCTTACGGGAAGTCCTTCTGTTGCATCATGTAACGAAAAAAACGACCATCTTGTAAGAGGTATAAATCGCTCTTACAAGAAACTCTGAAGAAATTAAGACAATTGTGATTTTATGAATATTTTGTTTTTTTCAAAAAAATCCACCCGAGCAAGTTCATGGGTCACTTTTTGTCCCATAAAATTATGTTTTATCCCCACCCTCAAGGGGTAGCAGGGGGACCAAACCAAAAAATTATTTTGAAAACAGTTTTTCATGTAACGAAAAAATTGTTTCCAGTGTTTTTTATTGTATTACTTTGCAAGATCTTTTCATATTTATTGATGGAAAAAATCAAGAAGAGAGCTCTGATATTATTTTACAGGTTCAATGAATTTCAATATACAAGAATCCATTAATATTGAGAAAAAATTATTTGTCCAGTCAGCCTGGAAACAAGAAGGGGAGATAGTCCAGGATCTTCTTGTTTGAATCCCTGCAGCCATCAGTATTTCAATACTGATTGATTGATTTTAGAGTGCAAGTTTGTCGCTCACTTTTTGCCCCATTTATCGAAACTTTCCTGGAAAAATTCAAGACAATATTTTCAAACTCCACTCTGGTCCCCTTGTTGGTGAACTATGTTTCTTGTTAAAAAATAAGCATTGAACTGTATTGTATTTACCACCAATAAAGGCGAGCAATACCTCTTAGGTATATACTGTATATATAGATACGCCATACGTATGTGCTTTAAATGGCATCTATTCCAGGTTATTATGATTTTTCAGGGTCACCCTGTACTTACCCAAATCAATATCACCACGGGTGATCGAACTCGATCATTTTGAAATCATTTACCGTAACTCTGTTAACGTAAGACATAAAATCAATTAAAGCCATACAACATGGGTGTGTCGTGTTACAGGTACAAATCACATAAAATTAGAGGAAATATATGTATGACCTTGTAAGGTACAAATCACATACAATTAATTCATGGATATAAAATATTTCATCATTGTTTGACCTTTTAATGACGCAAGTTCATTAAAATGCGATATGGACACGTTTCTAGTTCTAATTGCATTATCCATTATCGTATTACTAATAAATACATCACTTGCAAAACGTGATGGAAACGCAACACGGAAATGTAGACCAGATATTTCTAAACTTGAAAAAACTATACATGGAGAACATGTAGAATTGGCAAAGTGCTGTGAAAATAATGGAAGGATGGTGGAAAGGATTCTTGCTAAACTTGATGTCTTAGAAAAGAAGTCCAGACAACGGAATAATGGTAATACCAACTGTTCGTATACATGGTTATTAGGAAATTGAGCTTAACGTCTTGCAAAATGTATTTTTATCATGTTTGACCCAATAAATCAATAAAAAAGAAAATTATTGAAAGAAATGTGGGTCACCCCTCTATGATGCATTCATTTTTACAAAGCCACGTTGTTCCAGATGAGGAACGGCGTTCAGCATCCACAAGAGGCATTGATGATCGTCGCCATAGCAACAAGAAAGATCACAAAAAGGCGCGAGTTAAATGTGAAAACCGTGACTTCATCTGGGCACAAATGAACAATACATGTATAAAGGGACTGAACAGCACCTTATTAACATCTTCGTCTATTGCTGAGTGCAAGAAATCCTGTGATGACCAATCGTCTAATTGTATGTCAATAAGCCACAATGCTGCTACCGAAGAATGCCATCTTCAAAGTAAATATTCTGGGGTGTGGCAGGTCATCAGTCCATGCGATTTGGAAGGATGGGACTACGCTGAAAAAAGGGTCAAACCAAGTAATAAAAACTTCTAGAAATGTTAAAAACTCGAACACCACAGGGGCGGGCCAAAAATGTTCACGACATTTCGAGTTTGTTTTTTTAACATTGACGTTTATGGCAGATTAAAAAATGGAACTGAAAAAAGATGTTCATATTGAAAATTGATGCGTGTTCAGATTAGAAAGGACCTACAGAGTATATAATTTATATATGATATATAACTATAGCTTAGAATAAGAGTTGCTTTTATCTACGTACTTTTCTGATTCTAAGTCCAGTATTTGTTTTGAATAAAAAAAAGTTAAAGGAATGCAACATTCAGTGATTTTTACTCGTATTTAAAAAACACATATCATGATCATTATGTCAGATTGATTGTATTATTTGATTTTTCATTACAGATTGGAAATGGTTTGACATGCCAAACACATGCATTATGCATTCAAATGTAAAACGATTCATCACTTTGTCTTGGTTTTCCTGCAAGGCTGCCTGCGAATATGAGGAATCATTTGAATGTAGGTCGATTGAATTTGACAATAAAACCAAAGAATGCCATCTTCAAGCGAAGCACTCGGGGAATTCACCACTAAGCAGTCCATGTTATTCCAGAGGCTGGGACTATGCTGAAAGACAATTCTTTTGAAATGTACATCCTATCAGAAAGTAATAAAATACAGACATACTGTCTTGGTATACAATGTAAATGGTCTTCAGCCTTTTTGGATCGAAACAACGCTATCAACGCTTGCGTGTGTTAGACTCGAAAAAAACACATTTCATACACAAAATTCAGCGTAATTCACTGATCAACGGCAGACCGAAACTAAATGAAGTTAGTCCCATCCAAAACAAATTTCAATTTTAGCCGAACCAAATAAAGTCCTGATATTTTGCAATTTCGCTTGATTGTGAACAACTAAAAAGAAATGTTCAGCCATCTCTGAAATTGGTAAAATTCAAAAAATAGCGATGAGACAAAGTTTTATTTCTTGGAGATGAAATTAAGTGCATTGATTTAAGGATTTAAGCCCTGGACTCAGAGCAATTTCGAATGGCCATTCCTTGAAGATGTTGCTCTCCAATATTTGCACGAGATGCGGAGCACTGAGTGTTAATTTTAGGAGGCAACGTCTGAAAGTAATGGTCATTACACAATGCATCGAGTCTTGGACTTAAATTCACACATTGCAAAATATTTTCTATCATTTAATCATTTAATATCATTTTGCAAGGTTCAAGTTGGCAAACAATCAATTTCTAATCTGTTGAGTGAACTTGTCACCTTGGCAACCACATAAGGAATGATCTTGGATGGATTATTGGAATTTCATGCACAGTGCTTTTATGTGAAATACTGCGTTCGGATTGGCTGAAATTGGACATACCTTGTCTAGCTATGTGTGAATATTTGATTCTCCATTGCTAGTTTCATCGATGGCCCCCATCCTAATGGCTGGGTCACATTTGTTCCGATTCATCGGCCGGCGCCCGGGCGATTAAGTGTTTTTATCAATTCAATTTTGAACAAAATACTCAATCGGCCGGGCGCCGTAGTGAAAATCAGTCGAAGCAAATGTGACCAAGGCATAAGCAAAGCCATTATTCAACTAGTTTCATTCTGCCTGTGGACTAGTTATAATTGTGCTTAACATAGACATTAAAAACTGATTCAAATCATTAAGAGAATCATTTTTGTTACAACGTGTGTGGCCATCCAAAACAATTAGATTCAATTAATAACTCGTTAACAGCTAAAACATTTAATAATACGATGTACCTGTTGAATATTACTTTTATACATGTCAATTGTCTCAATACCTGTACGGTGGATTAGTTTAAATACATTAACATGCAAATATTCTTTCAAAAAATCGTAAAGTAATTTGCTTCAAAAACACATGTTAGAAACAAACAATTGATGTGTGAATATTATAGAAGAACACCTGTTATCAAACAGAGCAATTACCAAATATCATCTTAACTGTGACAGGCTCGATATGACATAGATGTGCTGTGACAGGCTCGATATGACATAGATGTGCTGTGACAGGCTCGATATGACACAGATGTGCTGTGACAGGCTCGAAATGACATAGATGTGCTGTGACAGGCTCGATATGACATAGATGTGCTGTGACAGGCTCGATATGACATAGATGTGCTGTGACAGGCTCGATATGACACAGATGTGCTGTGACAGGCTCGATATGACACAGATGTGCTGTGACAGGCTCGATATGACACAGATGTGCTGTGACAGGCTCGATATGACACAGATGTGCTGTGACAGGCTCGATATGACACAGATGTGCTGTGACAGGCTCGATATGACACAGATGTGCTGTGACAGGCTCGATATGACACAGATGTGCTGTGACAGGCTCGATATGACACAGATGTGCTGTGACAGGCTCGATATGACATAGATGTGCTGTGACAGGCTCGATATGACATAGATGTGCTGTGACAGGCTCGATATGACATAGATGTGCTGTGACAGGCTCGATATGACATAGATGTGCTGTGACAGGCTCGATATGACACAGATGTGCTGTGACAGGCTCGATATGACACAGATGTGCTGTGACAGGCTCGATATGACACAGATGTGCTGTGACAGGCTCGATATGACACAGATGTGCTGTGACAGGCTCGATATGACACAGATGTGCTGTGACAGGCTCGATATGACACAGATGTGCTGTGACAGGCTCGATATGACACAGATGTGCTGTGACAGGCTCGATATGACACAGATGTGCTGTGACAGGCTCGATATGACACAGATGTGCTGTGACAGGCTCGATATGACACAGATGTGCTGTGACAGGCTCGATATGACACAGATGTGCTGTTACAGGCTCGATATGACATAGATGTAGGCCCACAGTTTCAACTGAAAATACGAACGTATTATTGACAGGCCCGTAGCCAGGAGGGGGGGGGCGTCGGGGGGTTCAAAATCATGCAGTTTTCACCATTCTGACTATTTTTGAGTGATTTTTGGCCAAATTTACCAAAGTGAACTCCCCCCTAGAATTTTTTGGAAAAGTGAACCCCCTTGGAAAATTCTGGCTACGGGCCTGATTGAATCCATATATAGATCATGTATAACAAATGTTTTGTTTGAGTTATAAATCAAATACGATGACGTTATTTAAACATTACAACGTTATAATATTGTCTAATGTATAACAAGGCCTAATTGAGATCAATTGAACACAAGATGGAAACGTTTCTTATTGGATTCACTTTGGCTATAATACTTGCAAATACTGCACAAGTACAACCCCAAAAGGCATTCCGTAAGAAAGGTATTGTAGAGGATATTTCAAAACTAGGTACATCAATACATGACGAGCATGTAGCTCTAACAACGTGCTGTGAAAACAATGGCAATATGGTGAAACAAGTTCTCGCTCGACTTGATGCATTGGACTTGAAAAGTAAATGTGAACCATGTGAAAACAATGGTAAGTAGGTAAAAATGTACTTCAGGTTAAACAGTAGATAAATTCTTCATCACATAGCTCCTGGACGATTTCTCTTGAATTAATTGTTTATTGTTTTTTAGTTAAATGTCCAGTAGCCAGGGGGTGGGGGTTCAATGGGTCCCCCCGACAAAAAAGTCTTTCAAAATCATGCAGTTTTTCACCATTCTGAGCACTTTTTAAGTAATTTTGGCCATTTTTGGACCTTAATTCTCAAAAGAAAGTGAACCCCCCTTGGCAAATCCTGGCTACGGGCCTGATGTCACCGGTATAATCGGATAAAGTTGTAATGTTTATTAACTCATGCAATTCTCGTTTATATGATCCCTGAAATCTACGTCGTTAATTGCATTTTTTATGCTTCTACATCGTGCTACCGGTTTTAATGCGATATATGTATTTGGTTTGTGATACATTAGCATTACAAGTATTGGAGCAAATGGCAAATTTTGTACACTAGTATTAATATATCTGGGTTTATCCAATGATGGTTTGTTTCTCTCCTTAAATTATTTAGACTGAAAATTGAATTTTGGGCCCCATTTTCAAAATGGGTCACTTTTATTCAAGAAAAGCCCAGCTCCACCTTTGATTCCAGGTTCTACATATCCCAGAGGTCCTCAAGCATGGTATTTTTATGGAAACAACATTACAAACAGAAAAACATTTCTAGAGAGTGGTGGGAGAAAAGCCTGGGTAGACTTTGAAACTGATTTACCGCAAGGGATAGTAACATGCTTTGCAGTATATTTAGAACCTGGAGTCAATGAAGACACTGAAGTAAGACTTCAAATATGGCGTCCGATACCTCCAAGCCGAACAAAATATTTGCTAGTTTGGGAAAAAGAGGTGACATTTCTTAAAAATGAATATGGATTAAGAAAAGTAAGTATTAATCATAATTACAACATCTTAATTACAACATCCATTGTAATAGTTATCATGGTTACATAACAAGGAGTTCTTAATATGATGTCATGATTTCCATACAGTTGATATACCATTTTCTGAGTTCACCTATGGTACATATCTAAACTACATATGTGGATTGAAAGTGAACTGAGTTGTGCATGATAACAAGAAAACAATAATTTTGATGAAATACAAGTTCCATCGTAGTAACAAAACAAGGGAAAATTCTGGTTTCATTGTGTACAATCATAAATGACCTGTGCTATTTATATAGGCCTACTTTAGCATCATGGAATACCATGGCCCTCTCATCTTGCATCATAGACAGGTTTTTAGATGCGATGTGCATCAGATATGATACTTTAGGTCCTGTTAACTTTATGAAAATTAAAAATGATAGAGCGATTGGATCTGTATTTTAGGCTCCAATTGAAATAGGCATACCTGGCCTCTTAAAGCATTGAACTAATTTAGTCTGTCGTTAAGTTTAGTCATGTCCTTTCGTTGCCCAAATCTTGGTACAGGGTGAGCCAAAAAAGGGAACCCAAACAAATGTTAATAACTCAGTCATGGATTAGTGGGTTTGTTGTCATATTTGGCACAATTAAACCTTGTTCAATAGTTTTCATTCTACCAAGGTTATGTGGTCTATTCCCACTGTGTGGCCATTTTACAAAACATACTGTAAAGTACCGGCGTCGTGTCTGGAGGCCAACTTGAACGTATTAGGCAGAGTTGATCACAAAACAAGCACAGACATTTGTGTTATGGCTCTCATCTTCCTTCTTATCCTTTGTTTCAATGTTTCAATTAGCCCAAAAGATAAAAACTGGTCTCGACTTTTGCCCGGTGTTTGTGGCACGTTTTGGCATTTGGACCATGTTTTGTAAATGGCCTATAAAATCGTGACCATCGGAGATAGACCCATGAAACCGATTAGAAGGAAAGATCATTGAACAAAATTTAATTATGCTCAATTTGATTTAAATCCGTGCTAAATGGCTGAGTCGTTAACATACATTTGTACTACATTTTTGGCTCATCCTGTATATGAAAAGTATTCTTGTTTTTCAGATAAAACTCTTACTATCGGAAAGATTTCAAACCACTAGTGGGGACAAAATAGGATGGACAAATGAAGGGGACGTAAGCCCTATTAGTTTGTCCTACAATGTGAGACATTTAACGCATTTCTTACCATTGGATAACAGTCCTAACCCAAAAGTGGGAAGTGAATATGAATTTGAAAGTCTTCCCTTGGAGAGTCAGTTTTCGATAGGAGTATGGATGGATACAAGTAAGCATTTTGTCACTTTTGGTAGTTATCATGTAATGAAGTTGACTTTGTTATTTGGTTGCTTTCCATGTTTTATGTTCATCTGTATTAGATATAACAAACAGCAAGGAGGATTAGCCTCCATGGATCGAAACTCGATATTTTCCCACTGTGAAAACGTCGAAATGTCGTTATTTTCTGAAATTATAACCAACTATAAATTCAAAATAAACAGTCCAAAAGATTCGAACCAATATCTCAATCATATCTTGCCAGTTTTGGAATTTTTTGTTGGAAATAAGACCGAAATTCACGATTCAAATGTTAAAGTGAACGAAATGGGGACTGTTTGAATTCGAATTTGGAAAACATTTCCATTAGGGACAGAATATCGATGTTGCACTCTGGGAGCCAATCCTCCTTGAACAAATAGCATACTTTGAAGAGCAAAATTGCTGCAATGTAATTTACCCAGCATGTCCAAAACGTAATCGGAAAAAATCAGATTGAATGGATATAGCAGTTATCCTGAAATTTTGAAGAAAATCTATATGGCACATGCAGACATGTACGATATTGTTTTTTAGCGCTGTGCATGAGATCGTTATTTGGAAAATAGGGCTTGTTTTCCTTGACTGGTCGTGCTCTTAATTGTTTTTCTGCTTGTCATGTCTTGTAACTAATACTCTAACTCCTTCTTCCTTCTTGTACTGTCGTCACTTGTGCTTACATATTTTGCAGGCTGTCCAGAATCTCCAGATTGTCCTTCAGTACCAACAAAACGAAAAGATAGGGGCAGGAATAAAAATAATGAAGGTAATAGGGGCTAGGGAGACCACCCAACAAGAAGCATCTACCTATAAGAGGAAACCTCAATCCTATATCCAATTTACCAGTAGTCATACAGTGTAATGTAACATTGGACAACACATTGAAAACAATTCGTCCAATTTTAAAAATGGCGACACCAAACAAAATGATCACATTAAGAAAATATTCATATCTTTAACTCTCAAAACTTTCGATATCTAATTTATCATATTAACGTTTGTACTCGGGCGTTTGTACTAATTGTATTTCACATGCTCATCAGCTATATTTATTGTGCAGATGGCCAGGGAGTTTATGAGGGATGTGAAAAGCATGATTACAACTGGGCAACATTGAATAATACATGTATGAATGGAGTTAATAAAACAGTGATTAAAACTCCATCTATTGCCGAATGTAAGAAGGCCTGTGAGGAGAAATCATCGGAATGTGTGGCAATTAACCACAATGGCGTTACCGAGGAATGCCATCTTATTGTTGAGTTTACAAAGGAGTCGCAAATTCACAGTCCGTGTGAGCTTAATGGATGGGACTATGCAGAAAAGCGAGCTAAACCAAGTAAGTTCAGATATCAGATATGCAAAGCGTTCAATACATACATAATACTATAGTATATAATCGGTGACTGGTCAACTCGTACTCAAGACAAGTCGTACCCAAGACAACTCGTACCCAAGTATATATTTTGTTTTGAATCAAGCGTTGGACTGGGAATGTGAATAGATATACATATTATAATTGTAACATACTGTTCAGAATAGTTTAAAGTTTGAAGAAGAATTTTCGAAAGAAATTGATTTAATTTTGTGACATTTTGAGCTGAGTGTCAATTTAGTTTGACTATTATTTTATATTGGTCACAGATTTAGGGTGTTCGAGTGAAGGGACATATGTTTATTCCACATATTCATAATCATTTTTGTTTTATTTATGTATGAGTGTTTGGAACAAGTGTCAGATCTAATGTTGTAATTATATTTATTTATATATATGTTTTACAAAAAAATGTTGAGAACAAGCGCTTCGAGCACTTCTTTTATTTCATAAAAAAGGTGATCCAAGTTAAATCAAAATGCTTTCCTGATCCATTGAGAAAAAATGTCTTCTAAATTCAAAAAAATTGAGGCTTATTTGATTCACATTATAACATGAAAGCATTACAAACACATTTTTTTCCCTAATATGGACTAATAATACTGAAAATAATCTTGGGTACAGGTTGTCTTGGGCACCAGTTGTCTAAGGTACGAGTTGACTAGGAAGCATATAATTAATGTGTATTTTAAATGCTGATACGCGAAATGTGACTACGAGCAGAATATTTTGAATTTTCTGTTAAAGTAGAACTTGGAACTTTTCCTAAAACTGATATAATGGAAAAATGATTTTGAGAAGCGTATTTCCATGATGAATAGACTCAAAAGCTCTAGTTTTTTCTAGCAAAGCCCGCACAAAGTTCTAAAAGTCCGTAAACTTGTGCACGCCGGATACTTTTAGCTCCATTTACGTTAGAGATCATTAACAACGTCTTAAAAGTCACATTGGATTGAAAAATCCTTCAAATAGCATGTACGCGCCTAGTAAAATATCTTTTATTCCACTATCGTGGCATATATGCCCGAGGTCTCAGTGATATATGGCCCGACCTTGGGAGGGACATTGATCTCTGAGAACCGAGGGCATATGTGCCACTATAGTGATATAAACGATTTATAAAATAAATATGATGATGAAGACTGGTCAGAGAGTACCGTTTTCTTACAGAATTGACAAACAAATTTGTTTGAAAATGATTGAAATGAGTTTAGAAAAATTGCTCGCGCAGTTTTATCTTCGATTGATTGGTTATGCGACGTCAGCGCCTTGACCAATCAGAAAGTTGGCGGGCGCGGGCTTTTCAAAACTTTTATTGGCCCGCTGTCTTGTGTACACTTTGCACTATACATCATCATAGGTATGTTATAAGCATATTTATATACACGTATACATGACTAAAAGTTACTAATCTAATTACTTTTATAACTTTCCACAGGTTGGGCGTGGTTTGACATCCCAAATACGTGTATCAAGAGTTCAAACAAATTGATATTCACAGCTATATCCCTGATAACATGCAAGGCCGCCTGTGAGCACGAGGAGTCAATTAAATGCATGTCAATTGAATTCGAGGAGACTTCCAATGAATGCCATCTTCAAACTAAATACTCCGGGAACGCACAACTTAGTAGCCCATGCCACTCAAAAACCTGGCATTATGCGGAGAGACATTACTTTTATTGAAGCTTAATGCTGCACTGGTGTGTAAAGTGAACACGCATTTACAACTTGAATGAATTATGGGTTCAACTGGTTAATGATGCATCCCTGTATTCTTTAAATATATACTATTAAGTATGATCAATTCAAGTTAAATACTAATTCTGACATTTTTGGTTTTGCTACATGGCTCATCAAACATTAATACCGTTTTGTCAACATGTTTGTGTAATATTATTACCATATTTCATGTTGTGCTTTGTATGCTGGGGCAGAATATTCGGATGAAACCTATTGTATTGATCACAAATCAGTTTAAAGTGGACAAATTTTTGTTATAAGCTAATTATAATAAACAATGCTGGATTAAAATGTTACTGGTTTATTTTTTATTTATTTTATGAGATACATTATACATAAATTAAAACCAAAATGAAGACAGGAATAATAATTACAATTTGCTTAAATTGATACAGATTTTGATAATTTAACAAAATTCCCTTTCCAATGAAAAATTTGTTTTTATTTGAAGATTTTCCAAAACATTTAATTAGTTTCACATATTTCCATGAAAGAAATGCCATCTTTCTAATGGAAATGATTTTCTTCTTTAATTTGGCTTTACTTTTGAATTAGGGAATAAAAATGATTGTCAATGAATAGAGATGTACATGTAACGTGTGTTTTTGAGGTAATTTGTAATAAATATTCATATGTCATAACATGACCCACCCCCCAGGGATTATTATTCCTCTCTAAATCATTAAACAAGGAACTCGTTTAACAACTATTTTCATCATACCTTTAAATGCCAGAGTGGAAATATAATCCCAAGGGAACCATCATTTTTCATGCTTCATGCTGGAGTTCTTTAAAACTGTGCTCACTTAAGCTCCCTGATATCATATATTCTTACCTGAGATAAAAACCAGATGAATACTATAAATCCACAATTAATTGTTTTCCATTTAATTTTACTAAAACAGGATATCTTGATCTGCATATCAAATACATGTATATCTTCATGTGATATTCAATCTATCCAAACATCCATGGTATCTTAGTCAGAGCAATGTTAAGTACAAAAGCAAGTGATGATCCACATATCTGGGATTGGGATAATATATGGATAATTATCAGGACAATATGCATATCCACCTGATATCCATCCCAGAAAGAATTAAGTTGATATTGCTCTTGACAATGGTACAATGTTATTCTTCGGACAACAGGATGATAAGGAGAATATCCCTTGCCCAATACACCCCCCTTGGAAATATTCATATCATCCTTGGGAAATCCCACTACTGAACCACTACTTTATTCTAAATGGAATAGGATTTCAGGAAGTAAAACCTTGTAGATTCATTAAAAGTAGAACAGGAAGACTATTCACCAAAACTAAAATGAAATATTTGTTTTATCATTTCTGTCATATTCACACAATCTCTGATTGGGTCTATTATACGAGTCAGTAAATTTGATTTTTCCAGGAAATTCTAAAATACTGGAAAATATTCTGTAGTGAATATGCCATTTAAATAGCAGCAATCAAATGTTTCGTATTTTTGGGGAACATGGACCAATCAGGTGTGTGACATGGACCAATCAGGTTTGTGACATGGACCAATCAGGAGTGTGACATGGACCAATCAGGAGTGTGACATGGACCAATCAGATGTGTGACATGGACCAATCAGGTGTGTGACATGGACCAATCAGGTGTGTGACATGGACCAATCAGGTGTGTGACATGGACCAATCAGGTGTGTGACATGGACCAATCAGGTGTGTGACATGGACCAATCAGGTGTGTGACATGGACCAATCAGGTGTGTGACATGGACCAATCAGGTGTGTGACATGGACCAATCAGGTTTGTGACATGGACCAATCAGGTGTGTGACATGGACCAATCAGGTGTGTGACATGGACCAATCAGATGTGTGACATGGACCAATCAGGTGTGTGACATGGACCAATCAGGTGTGTGACATGAACCAATCAGGTGTGTGACATGGACCAATCAGGTGTGTGACATGGACCAATCAGGTGTGTGACATGGACCAATCAGATGTGTGACATGGACCAATCAGGTGTGTGACATGGACCAATCAGGTGTGTGACATGGACCAATCAGATGTGTGACATGGACCAATCAGATGTGTGACATGGACCAATCAGATGTGTGACATGGACCAATCAGATGTGTGACATGGACCAATCAGGTGTGTGACAAATCAGGTGTGTGACATGGACCAATCAGGTGTGTGACATGGACCAATCAGGTGTGTGACATGGACCAATCAGATGTGTGACATGGACCAATCAGGTGTGTGACATGGACCAATCAGATGTGTGACATGGACCAATCAGGTGTGTGACATGGACCAATCAGATGTGTGACATGGACCAATCAGGTGTGTGACATGGACCAATCAGGTGTGAAACATGGACCAATCAGGTGTGTGACATGGACCAATCAGGTGTGTGACATGGACCAATCAGGTGTGTGACATGGACCAATCAGATGTGTGACATGGACCAATCAGATGTGTGACATGGACCAATCAGGTGTGTGACATGGACCTATCAGGTGTGTGACATGGACCAATCAGGTGTGAAACATGGACCAATCAGGTGTGTGACATGGACCAATCAGGTGTGTGACATGGACCAATCAAGTGTGTGACATGGACCAATCAGATGTGTGACATGGACCAATCAGATGTGTGACATGGACCAATCAGGTGTGTGACAAATCAGGTGTGTGACATGGACCAATCAAGTGTGTGACATGGACCAATCAGAGAGTGGGTAATACAGCAGTGAAATAACGATGACCAATACTGCAATGGCAATGTTTAAATATGTCATGTATAGTCAAACTATTTCACCACACCTAAACAGTTTATTCGTTAGATCTAATTTCTTCCTGTTTCTCTTTGGATATATCATTTTCAAATGCACTTGTCTGTTCAGAATCATTAAACTGTTTCGTATCATTATTTGTATTTGATTTGTTTGTAGTTGAATTATTTATAGTTGTATTTTCACTGCATTTGTTATTTGTGCCGTTCTCTTGAGGCTCCTGAGAATTTGATTGACGTAAAGGTTTCCTCCCATCGTGCATCCCATTGGTCAATAAATACACAACTGCTGCAGCTTGCTCCGCCCACTTTTTAGACCGATGCCTGAAAAGGGTAAATGTAATTTTGAACATAACCTTTCACATTAGTCTTCAAGAAGATGAAGTAGATAGGAGAGGGATGAAGGGGGAGGGTGGTCCACAGACGTGTTGCATGATTTTAGTCAATATCCTATAAATATTTCAAAGATCAGGGAGTCCAGTTGAATCAATTGAATTTTTGTCTATTAGCGTTGATCAGGGAAGAATATTGCATAATCAAAGAACATGTACTTTATTCAAGAAAAGATTAAGTGAGGCATTAGCATTTCAAAATGTATCAACTGATTATACATAATTGTTCGAATGCCATATACTGACCTCAAATATACTTATAATAGACAAAGTAGTGGCTATATCAATATAATAATATAATCTGTTTAAGGTTGCTAATGCCCAAATATGAAAAGGATCAACATAGAAACATGACAACATGTGACCCTTTGGATCAGTCATCTTGGAATTACTTTACAGCTTACCATATGGTGCTGGCATATTTACACCCTTCTAGTGTCATTACGGAGTGGAAGCAGTGCTCAGCATTATCTACCTAGAAAAATACAAACAAATGATAAAAATCTTGAGTAGTGAAAAACAAACATTTAAAGACAATACAGGTAATACCAGAGTCCAAGAAAGGGTTATACAGTGTACAGTTGAACAAATTAATTGGAACCAAAATAGACATACAGTGTAATACATGTGATTGAAATACACATCATTTTGATCTGTTTCTCAAATGAGCAATGCACTTCTCTTATTATCCATGTGGAAGAGAAATATACAAAGACGCAATGCCATACCAACTCTAAAAATCCCTATATTAGGCAAAAATGTACAATACAACTTTTCAAATTGATCCATCTGAGAGCTGAATGCAAATAAAAGATGAATGTCAACACTGGACATTCAATTGACCTTTTGCGAATTCAGGAATTTTGTTTACCTGAGGATACTGGCAGTTTTGAGCAGAAAATATTATTATTGTTTTTTATGAAAACCATGGGTCAAATATTTACCAGGTATGCCAATTTGTCTAGATCATGAGTAAATCTTTATGTGTGAGGTTTCGGTGAAATTCATAATAAACATCGTTGCCTATAAGCGCCCCCCGTTTTCTTCAAAATCGGGGCACGCTTAACCGCTATCTAAATCATGTCAGTAAGATCTTAGACTTGACATGTGCTTGGAATGAATGTTGATCTAGTCAAATCAAACTTTCGTGAAAAATAAATCAATAAAGTACAAAATACAGAAGATAATCTCTCAAAATCAAACAGCTGTAGCAGTGTTGCCTAACTGTGACGTCATTATAAGATTGAATCCATCCAGTGATCGCAAATCATTAATTCATTTCAATTTCGTGCACAATGTTATGCATGGCATAATATGATTGAAGATCTTTTATTAATTCTTTAAACATAGAAAAGAGCATCACAATCGCGATTCGCCTCTCTTGAAGCCCCACCTTATAGGAGATGAGAGAACTAGGAGACCGTGTAAACGTTCACTTGAAAGCCAGTTTATAAATGTGGTAAAAGCATTTGAGAACTTTTTATACATGAGGGAAACATTCATTTCTTACATATTGTCACCCAAACTAAAGTTTATCAATAGAAAATAGACATGACAAGGAATGATAAGAGTCCAAAATATTCTAAAATTGAAACAATTTTCGATCATACTTGCTAGATCTGATTCAGCCTTTACAAAATGAAGCACTTACTGTTTTATATGTAGGAGGTGCAGTGTAGTTGCTCACACAGTGGTCATGCAGGATACTCTTGGGGGAAGCATCTACGGGGTAATAGTTTCTGAAACACGTTGGTATTTATTAAGTGATTATACAGAATGCTATTCAAACGGCATCATAGTAATGCATATACTTTTAATTAAGTTGACACATCTTGTTAAATTAACATACTGTACTCTAACTAATATTTGACACTATTATATTTCACTTTTTAGCAATTTTAAAGTTTTGCAGCTATTGATTTTTCACTAATTTTCATTCTGTTGAAATTTTGTGGCTACTCATTTTGCAGATTTGTGACTTCTCAAAAATTTTCAAGATTCTTTTTCTAATTTCTTTGATTAAAATCTTTTAGAACTCGAAATAAATTTTCTAAAACAGTTCCTTTTATCAAAAATATCGAAAACATTGAGTGCACTAAATTCCTTGGAATTTCGTGACTATTGTATTTTGCAAATTGAACTCTTAGAATTTTTGAATTTCCCGAAATTACCAGGAGTCGTACAGTATATGGTGTATATATGAACAATGAACACCTTTATCTAACTGTATGGTTCTATTTATAAGCTGTCTGGATACACAAAGTGAAACCTCTCTTATATTGTGCATTAAAGTACAGTAAACCCTGTCAAAGTAGAACACCTTTGGTACTTCTAAAAGGTGTTCCACTTGGGAGAAATGAGCCTGTCAAAAACCTTGTCAAAGTAGAACACCTTTGGTACTTCTAAAAGGTGTTCCACTTGGGAGAAATGAGCCTGTCAAAAACCCTGTCAAAGTAGAACACCTTTGGTACTTCTAAAAGGTGTTCCACTTGGGAGAAATGAGTCTGTCAAAGTGGAACACCTTTGGTACTTCTAAAAGGTGTTCCACTTGGGAGAAATGAGCATGTCAAAGTGGAATACCTTTGGTACTTCTAAAAGGTGTTCCACTTGGGAGAAATGAGCCTGTCAAAGTGGAACACCTTTGGTACTTCTAAAAGGTGTTCCACTTGGGAGAAATGAGCCTGTCAAAGTGGAACACCTTTGGTACTTCTAAAAGGTGTTCCACTTGGGAGAAATGAGCCATAAATGACATAGATAGATATCAGATAAACCTAATACTTACTTTACAAACTCAAATGGCATTTCTAAAATTTCTGTGCCATCCTCCAGTTTCCTTTTCTTTGTTGCTTGTATCATGACAGCCTCATTCTGACTTCTAAGCATTGTCTCCTTGGCAACCATTTGTTCCTGAACCTCATTGTAGTAATCTAGCATATCCCATATAATACTGGAAATGAGAATTCACACATTATTTAATATCTGATAATACGAAATTCCTTCAAGCGAAATCGTATAAATGAAAATTTAAGAACAGTGGCTGGAGAAGAAAAATCCAAAAAGGAATAAAAATGATTAGAAAAGAAAGATTCTATTCAGTACAAAAGATTTAACACTATAAAGAAGGTCTACAAACAAAAAGTGCAAAATTATCCCTTTCCCACAAATGTTAAAATCATAATTTAGAAACTGACAAGACTGTTTCAAGGAAAATACTGCATCATGAGTTATATATATATATTAACACTCATATAAAAGGCATACAATAAGGAATACAGAGCATCTTCAAAAAGGTGTCTCTGTATCAGTATTGAGTTTAGTGTTTAACATAATATAAAAGTACAAATACTGTAAAAGTGAAAGTAGAAGTTGAATAAATTTGATATCTCAAATTATTATATCACTATCTAGCTAGCGACAGTATGATTGGTCAAAACCGGGTCACATGTCGTGGGATATCTGGCAATATTCAATGGCAATGCTAATCAGATAAGACAACCGTGAAATATCTAGCAATATCCCATGCTCCCGGGAATTTTCAAAGAATTTGTTTTCGTTCAGTGTAAATAATTAAGTTCAGTGTAAGTCAAAATGGCAGACGAACTGAGTAGATTAAATATATGTATTTCAATGTTAACCTATGACTTAATAATATTAGGGATGTTTAGCTAGACAGTGATATAATAAAACAAATATTTCACTCTATTTTCGGTGAATACCTGTAGCACTTTCACAAGGTGATATTCCACTTGCCCTTCGGGCTTCGTGGAATATCACTTGTGAAAGATGTACAGGTATTCACCTCAATAGAGTGAAATATTTGTTCAATATTGTTCCACTTTGAAGGTGTTTCACTCACAGCGGTTTATTTTATGAGTTGTTTGATAATGGGGCTGTGAAAAGTGTTCCACTTAACAGAGGTGTTCCACTTACAAAGGTGTTCCCCTTATGAAAAGGTATTCCACATAGAGGTGATACACTTAACAGGTTTTACTGTATGCATATGATATTCCTTAAAGTGTCACAGTGTTAAAGCTTGGCATATTATATTTAAGCTCACCATATATCTGCCATGGTCTTTGTTGCCAAGAACTCTCTTCCTCTCTCACTATCTAGGAGTTCACATAACATATGTTGTATGTTGTACTTGCAATTGTAGAACAAACTGTCATAGTCTATGGCCTGCAATGACATGAACGAATATTACAAACTACAAAGTTAAGCATGTACATTTGCAAATAAAGTCTAAAAACAGTTAAAAAAAACTTCCCAATGTTAGCCTACTTGATGGTAAATTGCATACCTGTACATGTATTACATGTACATATATAAATACAAGAACACAAATGTGTACAAAATGTCCCCACCAATGGGTGATCCCATCAAATGGTTATCCTGAAAATGAGTAGACAAGACTTTACCAACACAATTTTAATTGATCCGTCACACAGTTAACTAGAAAACATGTAAACAAGATTTTAGGATGGAAAATCCAAAATGGCTGCCTTGACATTTACCCAGAATGTCAAAAAACTAATCTGTTCCTAGATTTTCATACTAAGAATCATCCCTGAAAATATGACATTGATCTACCAAATGGTTCACCTGAAAACGCGTAGACAAGACTTTACAGACAAGATTTTAGGACAGAAAATCCAAAATGGCTGCCATGACATTTACACAGAATGCCAAAAACACTAATCAGATGTAGATTTTCACACTAAGAATCATCCCTGAAAATTTGAAATTGATCTACCAAACGGTTCACCTAAAAACGTGTAGACAAGACTTTACAGGCAAGATTTTAAGACGGAAAATCCAAAATGGCTGCCTTGACATTTATCCAGAATGCCAAAAAACTAATCAGATCTAGATTTTCATACTAAGAATCATCCCTAAAAATTTGAAATTGATCTACAGAACGGTTCACCTGGAAATGCATAGACAAGACTTTACAGACAAGATTTTAGGACAGAAAATCCAAAATGGCTGCCTTGACATTTGCCCAGAATGCCAAAAAACTAATCAGTTCTACATTTTCATACTAAGAATCATCTCTGAAAATTTTAAATTGATCTACCAAACGGTTCACCTGAAAACGCGTAGACAAGACTTTACAGACAAGATTTTAGGACGGAAAATCCAAAATGGCTGCCTTGACATTTACCCAGAATGCCAAAAAACAAATCAGATCTAGATTTTTATACTAAGAATCATCCCTGAAAATTTGAAATTGATCCACCAAACGGTTCACCTGAAAACATGTAGACAAGACTTCACAGACAAGATTTTAGGACGGAAAAATCCAAAATGGCCGACAATAAAAAAGTGATTATGTGTTTTTGCTGATTTCTTCTTACAAAATTATCACATATTACTACTGTTAACAATAACATAGGCTTTTACAACAAAGTAGATCTGAAATTATTTATAAAGCTACTAAATAGTTAAAGTATGAAAACTCAAAAACACCATTCAATATGATACAAAGTATTATCGTGCGCTAACTTTTCTTAAGACATTCAAAATGGCTGACATGACTGAGCTAACAGGTCCAAAACCTAATCAGATCTAGAATGAAGTGAGCTGAACAAGATGTTAAAGTTTTAAAAGCAACTGTGAAGCCGTTTTTCTTAAAGTTTGCAGACAAGGATTTTAGCATTTGACTTCAAAATGGCCGACAGGAAGTAGGTATCGAGTTAAAATTTTTTCATCCACATCTGTATGCACTCATAAGTTATCCCTGAAAATTTGAAGGTGATATCTGTAGCAGTTTTGGAGAAAACTCCCGGACGTACGGACAGATGGACGGACGGACGGACGGACGGACGGACGGACAGACGGACGCGCCTAGGCCGACAATATGGCCCCACACTATGTGGTGGGGACATAAAAATGTGTAAATACTTACAAGCTTTAAGTAAGCCTTTATGACATCATCAAGTGGCAACTTTCCTTCTTTCCTAAATATGGAGTTGTTGTGTTCTGCTGCCCTGGCAATCATCACCGAGGATGCCCCACAACTCAGACGGAATTTCTCAATATCTCCATACTCTTTTATCTCTTTAGAGCCCCCACTGTATAAAATTAAGATTTATTCATAGAAATGATAACAGTGGGTCATTGCTAGAAGGTTTTAAAAATTTTCAATATTTACGGTGACATAGTTGAATTAGAGAATAGACTTGGGAATTCTTAACTTAACAAACTTTTCTGGTAACAACCACCAGCTTCCTTCTTGATATAGAACTTGACAAGGAGTGATCATATAAAATGGAGACAAATGATTATATCTTTATTTGTGTTCTTCAAATGTTGCCCATTGACATAATTAACTAGAATTCAATTCGGAAAATTTTGAAAGAAAGACACATCATCTTAAATAATCTTTCAATTTTGGTCACAGATGTTTGGCTGCAAGCCAAAATATCCTTGTTTCTGATCTATTGTTATAGCTCCACAAAATTTTTTTCATACTTAGCAATGACTGGTATTTTTACAGCTTCCGCCAGTTGCTTGATGACATGGTCACGGTTTTTATGACGAGGTCGTTCCGCAGTCAGACGACCATGAATACCGATAGCTGCTACCCCAGTGCCCTCTATCATTTGTACTAGTTCAATATTTTCCTCCAACTGAGAAAATAAAACATATGTACATGAACAGTACTATTATTCATCTATATACATAATATTGACTTATAAATTACTTAAGAAGTGTCACAGTTTTCTGAAATATCACAAATTTTTCCATGGCACCTAAAAGGGAACTATGATTACCCAAGTTTAAGAGCCAAGTGCCAAGAAATGCCAAGTAATCTGAATATTTCTGCCCCAAACTTACCAAAAGGTCAACCAGCCGTGTTTAATTTCATAAATGAAATAATTAACAGTGAAAAGAAAATTCCTGCGTTCTGCAACTGAACTAATATTATCCTGTTCAAAGATTTGAAGCATATGGGATTCAATGAATTGTGGGTGATTTCATTTTGTAGGCTCGTAAAAAAGGTCTCAGTTTTAGAGCTGCTTACAAAATCCTAGTGCATAAAATCACTCACAAATGTTTGAAACTAGGGCTTAAATCTTGAAGCAAGCCTGGATGTGTATATGTTTAACATATGTATTATGAATATCATGTACTCACCGTTGGAAGAACTCTGATTTTGCATGTTACAGGAATTGACAGTCCGTTCACAAGGGTGGTTAAAATCTGAAATAGATTAAAATGATCAATAGGTTTATTTATTATAATATCATCAAATACATTTTTGAAATACCTGTGTTTATCTACGCTTTATCTTTAACCATTAGTAGATATCAATATCTTCACAAGTGGGTTTACTCATAAAGACACATTAATAATTTATCATAACTAATTCCATGACTACAGGATAAACACATGTATCCTCTTAAGATGTAAACTTACTGACACTTTTGTTTTGCTTCACAGTTCATTAAATTATTTGTGTCAGATACTCATCATATCGATGGCAATCATAATCATGCTCAAATGTAGGGTTATCCATTTAGTAATACATGTATAGTCTAATGATACTGATGAAATTATCTTAATGAATTACCCTTATCACTAGAAGCCCTATGGATCAGAGTCTAGTAGTAGTTACATTTGAAAAGGGTATAAATGGGGTTAGTTAGTCTTGAAGACATCTATGGATCATTCAGGGAAAAGGTCACAGTTTCATCAGTCTCTTTTTATTCAGATTTTCATAAATTACACAGTATAGGGACACTAAATTTTTGTGTTTTTTACAATAAAGGTTTATTACACATTTGCCATACTGCTAGAGTGGGAATAAGTCAATTTTCTGCTTGCTAAGAGTAAAGAAAACTGAAAGCCAATTACAAAGAGGCAAGTATAAATCCTGAACTCTTATAAAATGATGCACATATTTTGTAAGACAAACCTCTTTGATTTTTTCTGGATTTCGAAGTAGCGCTGCTCCCATTCCACCCTAAAAATACAAAAGTATGAGATGATTAAACCAACTGATATATTTATTTTCAAGATAGATGAATATGTGTGACATTAATGAGACAACAAAAATGCAATTTTCTCCAAGCTTCAATAAAAACAGAAACGAAATTAAATATCATTATGAATTAAAAAAATTACAATGAAAATGCATAGGAAGAGAATAGGAGCTTTCTAACATTTTTAAGGACAATAGCTCCACTTTTCAGCTGTTCCATTTATATTACATAGGTGTCTTAATTGAGAGGCAATTTTTACTGCAATTGTACACTTATTTTCATTGCAATTGTACACTTAACGCAGCATTGTAATGTTGAAAGACTTCAACATTAGATTCAGTGGGTATTACCTTCAATGAGAATTCTTTAGGACATCCCATGTTGATGTCTATGCCAGCCACATCATTTTGCCTGGAATTTATAAATTATGGTAGTTTTAAATTTAAAAAGTAAATTAATAAAAGTTGACCCAATTCTATTTTGATGAATCTTCAGATCGGTGGATATGTAAATTGGTTGATATCAGCTATATTGTAATTGTAGAGCTAGACCATGTTATAGAATTCTAGAATTTGGATTTTACTGATTGCTACTGATTTTATCAGCTATATGTTTTTCTCTTTTTCAAGACAACAAGTACTTTTTGTGTTTTTCAGTCAATTTACAGCATATTTCTCCGAAAGATTGTGTCATCAGAAGATTTCATCTCTGTTTCCAATATGAAACAAACAAACTTCTAGCATTCATCGTTGGATGTAATGCCTAGCTCACATAAGCATCAGGTCCTGGCTGATGTGCGATCGCTGGGGACTTTTCTCTGATATCTTGTATTCATCGTGAGTATGCTCACACATTGTATGACATTTGCAACAACTTGATCCATGGAAATCATATGATGATTGTACGATTGCTGTATGGCATCCATCTGGACATCTTCATTTGATTTATATTTTATAATACACATATTTGTAATACATTTGGATTGTGAAAACCTTAATATAACTATTTACTAATTAGAATTGAGTTTAATGTATTCATTGAAATCACAGGATGACTGTACAGGTGGCGGCAGGGTAGGCTCCGATGAGTTTGATTGAGAGAAAATTGGTGAGACATCGGCAAGTTTTATGTCCAAATAAAATTCTCCCAGCATCCATACAATGTCTAAAAATCAGCCGATTGTTGCCAGTGATCGACCAGCACCCTTACGATGTCCAGCCGATGTTAAAAAATCATAGTCAACCAGCGCCCGTAGGTTGAATTGGAGATTATGTGAGCTAGGCATAAATTGGCAATTTTCTCAAATAGCCAAGTTAACCCAAGTTATAGTGGTACTTATAAATATATGATTCTGTTCATACTCACACCATCCGTGCAACTTCCAATGCTCTAGTGGGGCTACATGTACCCTGAAAAAAGACATTGTCTAAATTAGAAATTAAACTAGGTCTAAGTCTAGGTCCAGTTCAGAAGTGATAAGTGTTCATATTTTTAAGTTTCCTTATAGAAATAGGGACAAGATTGAGCAACAAAAATACAAAATATTAGAGACTGCAGATCTTGCATATGCATTAAGGGATGGTGTTCAATTATCATTATTTGTGGAAGTATCTGGTTAATGTCATTAGAGAGGGGGGTAAATGTTGATTTTGAAAGTGCAGAGTACAGATTTTTACAAGAACACAAATGTGTACAAAATGTCCCCACCAATGGGTGATCCCATCAAATGGTTATCCTGAAAATGAGTAGACAAGACTTTACCAACACAATTTTAATTGATCCGTCACACAGTTAACTAGAAAACATGTAAACAAGACTTTACAGACAAGTTTTTAGGATGGAAAATCCAAAATGGCTGCCTTGACATTTACCCAGAATGTCAAAAAACGAATCTGTTCCTAGATTTTCATACTAAGAATCATCCCTGAAAATATGACATTGATCTACCAAATGGTTCACCTGAAAACGCGTAGACAAGACTTTACAGACAAGATTTTAGGACAGAAAATCCAAAATGGCTGCCATGACATTTACACAGAATGCCAAAAAACTAATCAGATGTAGATTTTCACACTAAGAATCATCCCTGAAAATTTGAAATTGATCTACAAAACGGTTCACCTGAAAACGCGTAGACAAGACTTTACAGGCAAGATTTTTAGACAGAAAATCCAAAATGGCTGCCTTGACATTTATCCAGAATGCCAAAAAACTAATCAGATCTAGATTTTCATACTAAGAATCATCCCTAAAAATTTGAAATTGGTCTACAGAACGGTTCACCTGGAAATGCATAGACAAGACTTTACAGACAAGATTTTAGGACAGAAAATCCAAAATGGCTGCCTTGACATTTGCCCAGAATGCCAAAAAACTAATCAGTTCTACATTTTCATACTAAGAATCATCTCTGAAAATTTGAAATTGATCTACCAAACGGTTCACCTGAAAACGCGTAGACAAGACTTTACAGACAAGATTTAGGACGGAAAATCCAAAATGGCTGCCTTGACATTTACCCAGAATGCCAAAAAACAAATCAGATCTAGATTTTTATACTAAGAATCATCCCTGAAAATTTGAAATTGATCCACCAAATGGTTCACCTGAAAACACGTAGACAAGACTTCACAGACAAGATTTTAGGACGGAAAAATCCAAAATGGCCGACAATAAAAAAGTGATTATGTGTTTTTGCTAATTTCTTCTTACAAAATTATCACATATTACTTCTGTTAACAATAACATAGGCTTTTACAACAAAGTAGATCTGAAATTATTTATAAAGCTACTAAATAGTTAAAGTATGAAAACTCAAAAACACCATTCAATATGATACAAAGTATTATCGTGCGCTAACTTTTCTTAAGACATTCAAAATGGCTGACATGACTGAGCTAACAGGTCCAAAACCTAATCAGATCTAGAATGAAGTGTGCTGAACAAGATGTTAAAATTTTAAAAGCAACTGTGAAGCCGTTTTTCTTAAAGTTTGCAGACAAGGATTTTAGCATTTGACTTCAAAATGGCCGACAGGAAGTAGGTATCGAGTTAAAATTTTTTCATCCACATCTGTATGCACTCATAAGTTATCCCTGAAAATTTGAAGGTGATATCTGTAGCGGTTTTGGAGAAAACTCCCGGACGTACGGACAGACGGACGGACAGACAGACGGACGCGCCTAGGCCGACAATATGGCCCCACACTATGTGGTGGGGACATAAAAAGCCAGTTGAAAGATAAATCAACATCTTAAAACTTTGATATATAAGAGGAGGGAGGGCAATTCATGACAAGATTTGTAGGTACCAGTATTTACAAAACTGACAAGGCATTAACAAAATGTCACCACCTGCAAATGGTTACAAAGTGTAAAAATTGTTACAGATGAAGGTCAAACAAAGGTCACATCTAAAGTCAGATTTGAACTTCTGAGAACACGAGGATGATTTTGAAAAGAAATTCTTGACCTTTTTATCTTGAGAATGTCATTGAAGGACAAATCTCAAATCTAAAGTCAGGTATAAACTTCTGAGAACTTGTAGTTGATTTCTTAAAGCAATTTGGAGTCAATTTGGAGTATTTGTTAGTACTAAGTTATTGGAAGGTGTAAGAATTTATTAGTACAGAAGCCAAACACCGGATGCCATCAGACACTGTCACAAAAAAGTTGGAGACCATAACAATATGTTAACACTTTTGATGGTGACATAATTATTACCGTGCATATCATAATAAAAACGGATTATTACCATTTGGAATATAACTTTACTTGTCTCCAAAGTACAGGTTCTGAACGCAAGCTGTCCATCTTTTGTCTTATAATCAATAGTACCAATCACTTCTGAAACATATAAAAACATATTTTTTCAATTCATGATGTACTTTGGAACATAAATACATGTATACAATATAAAAGGCCAAATGTTCATTTCAAAAGGTGGATTAATAAACAAGGCAAATTAGAAGCCATTTATATTCCAAGTTAAGATATATCACATTGTAAAATATAAACAAAGTGATTAAATTATGAATTATGAATACAATGAGCTATTTTCAGTTATATATCCGCCTAGATAAAATAAAAAATAAAATTTATGATACATATCTTCACTAGCTGTTACAAATTTAACGATGAGTAAAAGAAAAAGAATGTAGTAAGGGGATGCATCATTATATTGAAATATCCTAAATCAGAAAATTAACTACAATTGGGGTAGAAAGAGGGTAGAGTGCAGTACAACGGTTCTGTTTGGCTTACTATCACTGATTTTCTGACACTAGATCAAGCTACATTGTTTCATTCTTAAGGAAGGGGGTTAACTGAAAATGTGATTTACATCTCAATTTGGTCTTTTGATATGATCCCTTTAAAGTTAAGTCATAATATGTGTATTCGCAAAGTGCATCTCAGTTGTACAACAACACAAACATGAACATGATTTTGTCAGGTCTTCTGGTGCTCATGCTATGTATAGCACATAGCAATGCTGGATGTAAGTACATTATTGATGTAGTTTAAAGGGGTTTGAAAAAAATTCTTTTTAAATCATTTTTTTCATTTAGAGTTTTTATAGAAATTATCAATGGACATGGTGCATATTCAAATATTACTGAAAATGTAAAACAGCATGCATTGACGGCTTTGGATTGTTGGTATCAAACAAATTATGAGTTTTCAAATAGAAATGGCTCCTTACAACAGTTGTTTCATTCATATAATTCACATGATTTATACCATTTATAGGGGTTTGAAAAAAATCTCTTTAAGTCATTTAATTTTTTATGTGTTATTTTACACTGCACTCTTAGTTATAGAGTAAATTTTCATATTCAATTAATTTCTGCGTGCAAAGATGTAACTCCTTTGATTAATTCCTTTCTCTTTCCAGATTTCTGGGTTGACATGGCAGACACTTGTATTAAAGGTCAAAACATGAACATTTTATCCCCAATCCCTAATGTTCTGGTCTGCAAGCTGATTTGTGAAACAGAACCATCATGTATGTTATTTATCAATTATTCTATAAAAATCTTCAATACATGATTGTATTGTAAAAATTCTTAATAAATTTAATATTCCGCACCTCCCAGTTTTCTGCAACTTATAATGATGAATTATCAGAGTAAAAAAGGCCAGTTCTGTGGAAGTTCAACAAAAAGGAGACAAGAATAAACACTTAATCTATTGAAAAAACATGTATATATTTATTTATTTATTCATTATTAATTTTCAATTAAGTGAGTTTAGAAAAACAAGAAAACAAAATCAATTAAAAATCAAAGTCCCACCAGAAATGGAACTTGTATAGAGCTGATTTTTCATACTTTTAGAAAATCTGTCAACTCAATGGAAAATTCTATCAAACTAATCAAAGTCAAGGCTGAGGCTAGCAAAGAAATGGGCGGATCTATGAAATGAAATAAATTGAATATAAAATATAAAAAGACCTTCGGTGCATTTATAACACCTCCATTAAGTATTTAGTTTTCTCATTTTTCAGCTAAATGTGAGAATTTTAAGCATTGTAAAATTATGATCTATAATTGATTCTACATTTACTTCAAAAAGTATGAGATAAACATGTACAGCATATGAAATAAACACATTGCCAAATATCGGTAGAGGTTCTTTTATTTTATATATTTAGGTAGGTCGATTGATTACCACTCTGGTAATAAAGTATGCCACCTTTCTGTCAAACATTCTGGGAACTGGCAACTAAGCGCTCCATGTTATCTTGATGGCTGGCAGTATGCCGAGAGAAGAGTTCGTAAGTGTTTTCATATTATCATATGAAAACAAGACACCAATTGCTATATGCCAAACTACAAGATGAATAAATGAATGAACAATGTAAACAATATTGACTTAATCACTTTAACATATTCTAAGTGAATTAATTGAGCAGTTTTTACAGTGCTTACCAGTCCTCTAGTATTCTAATTAGGAACCAAAAATGTTGTCGGCTCAAGAACTTAAAGGTGGAATAATGGTCAATCTGGACTAATTCCTTAAAAACTCAAAAATTAATTTGGTACCGTAAACCTGTCCTGGAGAATGATGACAACTTACTTTTGTCAAAATACCAGAGTCTGAAAAAATCACTCACCTCGATATCAGTGAAAGAAGATGCAGTTTTGATTGACTGCAAGAGCAGAATTCAAGTTGAGCTAAAATGCTTTCGTTCAGTGTGAAATGGAGTTAGTTTTAACTAACTTTCTACTCGATAGAGGGCTTTTGACCTCATTTTAATTACATAACCTGGTGACAATTAATGGGCGAAAATGCCAAAGGCAAAACAGAAAAAGAAACATCGCCACCTATTGTAAGTTGTTCGAAAAAATTGATATTTTCGAACAAAGGAATAAAATGTGCACAATTTTTTTAAAACTCCGCTTGATGTGTTCTTCATCGTTATATCGTCATTCTGGGGATACATTAGAGTTCATAGCCATTCAACCAAGCCACAAAAAAGTATGTAGATAGTTGTTAAATCGTGTATTATGAATATTCTTCCATTATTAAAGTTAATTCATTTAGATATGACTTAATTTTTCCTGAAATAACAAAAACCAGGAAATAGAAAAACATACTTTATGGAAAAAATGATGATCATTGTTTTTATGTCTGCAAATAATATGACCATCAGAATTCAAGATAGAAACTGCATTTTTGAGGATAATTCTCGTTTTAGTTAGAAAAACATTATACCTTTTGTATGTAAACACATATGAAATCTAATTTTTAGGATCATATTGGACCTGGTATGACCTGCCGAACACATGCATAAAAGGTCAAAACATAGCTGCATTTACGACTACTTCATTGTGTGCATGCAAAGAGGCATGTTCAAATTATGGAAATGGTTGGATGTGTCGATCAATTGACTACAAAGCATCAACCAAGACTTGCCATCTGCAAGAAAAATATTCCGTCAATACTGTGTTAAGCAGTCCTTGTTATTTAAGTGGATGGCTCTATGCAGAGAGAATGTACGTCTGAATCTGAATACGATTACGACATTGAGTGGCACGTTTTATACCAAGAAACAAATGATACACAAATACAGCTGAAATAACATTGTTAATCTGAAATTCATGTAATAACATGTAGAAATTGAAAATAAAGATCTTGTTACTTTTGTGAATACTTTTATGTCACCACCAGAAATGGTGACATATTGTTATAGTCTTTAACTTTTTTGTGAATGGTGGTTGGTTTTGCATGTTAATGCATTACTACATTTTGCAGTCTACTTCTGTACTTTCCACACACCTATTTAAAACTAGAATAATCAATGTAGACCAATTGGTAGACCAAGAAAATTGCTTTGGTGATGATGAAGAAATTTTTTACAAGAGTTTGGACACCAATTAAATTAATTAATTATATTAAAACCTACAATAATAACCAATCCAAGAGAATTATCATTATATAAAAATATTTTATGTGTGATAAATTTAAGAAATATAGACTGAAGAGAAGGTATTATATCAATAAATGAATACCGCGGGGCTAGTCGCAAACATTTTCTGTAGGTTTGAAAGTTTTTGTCTTAGAGCCTTAAGGTATTTATTAGTCAATATAATACCTGATCTGAGGTCTATATTTAAAATCAAACATGAAAACTAAGCAATCTTTTGCAATATACTGTCACTTCATTTCCTACTTCTGGTTTAGCATTTAGCACTGAACGTAACACTTAATAGAGACCAGGTATTGTATGGACGAATTAATACTGGATAAAATATTGACCTTGTTCAAAGTTTATAGAAGGCGTGAATACAGTCACGCTAGTATATGTAATAAAGACCATCCATCCATGGGATACAATTTAGAAGCTAAACAACGTTGAGTCAAATTAACCTTTTTCAAATATATTTATAGCATAATATATGTTAACAACTCATCAATAACAAGTTTATTACAATAACAACATAAAATTGATAATTCATGTTCACAATGCATGTGACAATTATCATTTAAAAGGAGTTAAATGAAAATCAATTAGAAATTATATAATTAGTCTGTATTTTTTCCTGTCTATAGTGAGCATCTAATACAATTTGAATATTGGTCTTCGCTTATATACGGTATGTGCTATATTGTAAGACCAGCATGCATGTGATTACTTGGCAGGTAGCAGAGCTTTGCTTATTCATTATGTCTTTACTCTATCAGTTGATATTAATTTGTTTACACTGAAACTAGGACACATACAATCAATGACTAAGAAATATGAATTTTACACTGCTACTCCGATGATCAAAACCTTTAATGTTTATCAAAATATGATAATTCACTGTTTCATCAATATACTGTACAATCCGCATTGATGGAACCTTTGTCTTAATATGGAGTTTACCATTTGCTTTGTATATATTCATTTGAGTGTACAAAGTATATACTAGGGATGTCACGGGACAATATTGGGAAACCGTGATATCCCTATTACATGTATATACATCTGCACGGTTACTTTATATTGCTGTTGCTATACATACCATTCTTGATCCTAGTGGCGTTGATCATCTTGAAGTCAATTACTTCCTGCAAAATATTGAATTCATAATGATATGATTTTAAACAGTGTGTGAATGAATGTAACCATCATTAGACATTATTTGATTTGGTAATAATAGTGAGTATTTTGTGTTTATCTAACGTAGAGAGCAGAACTGATGAAGTGATTATTCAGTATAGTATCGTACAATAGTATTTAGTAGAATACAGTGTAATGAGGATCTCAGAGTGACAAATTTACTCATCTTCGCACGCTCAGTCTTCAATGCGTTCATCGACGGGAGCCGTCAGTGAACGAAGATGAAATTAACTAGTATAGTGTGATATTAAAACAAGGGCTGAGTAACTTATGATCCAAAAATAGTTGAGGCAAATCTAAATTGATGAGGTAAACTTAAGTCCGACGTGGAGATGATATTACTTTTTTATAAAATGTTGACATATGCCTGTTTAATCACTCAGATCTGCTTTGATTGTATGTGCTATACATACTTCACTATTGTAACTTCATCTCTATCCCCATGACAATGATAACATTTTAGTAGATTTTGAAATGCACCATAGTACATGTAGTTTGTGAAATGCATGCACAGTATTTACCTCTGTATAGACAAGATCAGCCCCATGTCTGAGGGCCAGAAGCCTCGCAGGTAATGTACCAACACGCACCATGGGTGCTAATATCACCTTGTTACGATACATATCTTGAAAATCGTTATGGCCTGCCATCTTTCTGAAAGCAGAATAACCAATGTCCTTCAGCTGTTTGATTAATAAACAAGTAAACTGATCAGTATATAAATGGTAAATTTTGAAGGGTATTTGAGACACAGCACCCACCCTTTTAGGTGATAAACCTACAGATCTGCAAAGGAATAATAAGAGCTAGATTCGCTGAAGTGAGGATTTTCTATGTTAAAAAAAGAGAATTTTCAAGAGACCATACATTAGTGGAAGAGAGTATACAAAATGTAAAATAGACAAATTTTAGGGGATATGTATCTGAATAATATTGGAAACTATGGGTTTTCAAACCACCATGGTTTGGAAATGGTGATAGCAAATCAACTCATTTATTTATTGCTCAAACTGTTAGTATCCCTGAAAATTATGTATCAATGGCATTAAATTATTTGACCGATATTACAGTATTAAAGTAATTCAACCATTCCGACCTTTATTATTCTGCTTTAACATTACCACTGTCATTACAGGCTTTGCAATATAATATAGCATTGTCACGGTCATATCTGGCTTAACCATTACCACGGTCATGACAGGCCTTTCAATATGGTATAACATTGTCACGGTTATACCAGGCTTTCACGATAACCCTACCAGGGTCATGGCAGGATCGTTGCGAAACTTAAAAACACTAAAATAACATGGTGATGGTTGTGCCAGGCATAAGTCTTGCAATAGATAGCATGTGTCAAATTCCTCCAAAGAAAGATGGAGGCCAATCCAGGACTAGAGTCCTGGTATGGGATAATATAAGGTAATCTAAGGCTTCGTTAAGTGCCAAGATTCCACTGAATTATCAAAACACGAATTAAGAACAAAAAGATTCGCCTGTACGATAATTCAACGAGGAGTGTACTATCCTTACTCGGTTTATCTTGTGGTATGAGGAAAGTAGTTCTATTAGAAACCTCTTTGGGGACTTCAATGATATACTACAGCACCATCTTTGGATAGAATACTCTCATTTGCTGGCATATAATAATAACTGGGAAACATGTGATCATAATTTACTCACTTCGAGAGCCATGTTAGATTTTGAAACTTATGGCTCTCAAACGCAAAAGTGGACAGCTCATCGATTGTGACCTTTGAAATCGAATTAAGTCGATCAGCGGCCTACTTTTGTTCTCTAACTATGCTATACATCATTATCATCCTTCTGTGCAAGTATTGGAGTGCTGAGGTACTTCCTTTTCCATCAAGACTTGTAATTATTAGTCGAGTGAATGTTTTTACTGCCGAATTCCAATATGGCGTTTTCTGCACGGACATTTTCGTACATTTCCGGAGGTTGTCCAAACCTAACTAATTCTCAAAATTCATTTCGTTCGTTGCGTATCTCGCTCCTAGCAAACCGCCATATTGGAAATAGGTCTAAAAAACATTCACTCGATGAACAATTTACAAGTCTTGATCGAAAAAGAAGTGTTTCAGCGCTCTAATACTTACACGGATTGATGATACTGATGTAAGACACAGTTAGAGACCAAAAGTAAGCCGCTGATCGACTTAATTCGATTTCAAAGGTCACAATCATTGAGCTGTCCAAATGCTTCGTGGGAAAGCTATTATATCAAAATCCAAATAGCTTTCGCAGGAAGTAAATCATATTCGAACATGACTGTATTCACGCCTTCTATAAACTGTAAACAAAGTCAATGCTTCAGCTGGGTTATATTCGAGATCAATAACCCCAGTTAATACGTGTAATGTGTGACGTCATAACGGTGGGTCGTAGTAATGGCGGACCATGATGAATATTCGAAACAATTTGGTGAGTTTTCATGTTCGAATCGTAATATAGACCTCAGAGCAGGGGTAATATCGTCGAATACACCCCTTGGGGCTAGGCACAAAAGCTTTCGAACCCCTCACTCCCTTCGGTCGTTCGGGGTACAGAAAACGTTTGTGCCTAGCCCTGCGGGGTGTATTCGACGATATAACCCCTGTTTTTCGGTCTATATTTCTTAAATAGTGAACGGTAAAATATTTGGGATTATTTTCTGCGGATGGATGACCTTTGTAGTGATGAATTGGTCAATGTACATAAATATGATGACGTTTTGGCACTCGTACTATGTAAGAGAGCAGAACTTTTGATTTTCGTGGGATATTTTTGTTGAAATTTTTTTGACGTGAGATGCTTTGCTGTATTTCTCTGAAATGTTTTGAAAATCGATGGGATGCGATTTGAGAAAATCTTATTCGAAATGTGTCAATTTAACATGCATCTCAATGGTACAAAAAGTAAGGAGAGTTCTACCGAGGGCCTTTGTAAAATATGATGGGCGATAATTCAGTATATTTTCAATGCTCTCAATTCAAAAGTTTTTCAGCCTAGCTACAATAAATTATCGTAATCTTGATATTAATATTGTGCACAAAGACTTTCCCAATTATATTATTGTACATTCTTACCTTTAAATAGCTCGATTACCCGTTTATTTCTATAAAGTTGGACAGAGAAATATTCACAAAAATTAACCGGAAGCGGCCAACAGGAAGTGAGATGAATGCTTCCGGTTGGCGGTTTTGAAAATAATTGAAATCGAAACTACTCTATTTATTCAATTATTGTACAATATAGAGCTGTATTTAACATATATAGACAAAACGTAAGTACAGTAAGTTGTAATCATTCTTTTTAAAAGTGGGAGTATATCGTAAAAATGTGAATAGATCTAGATTTTCACTGATTTTTTTTCACATGTGAGATTTTTCTTTTTTTAAATTTTTTTTTGAATTGGGCCATTCCATTTAAAAAATGTACGGGGGGTATGGATGCACAGGCTGAGACACCCCCCCCCAGATTTTTTTTTCTTGCTACCCCCCCCCCCCAGAAAATTGCATCCATACCACCCCCCCCCCCCCCGGAAATTTGCATCCATACCCCCCCCCCCAGAAATTTGCATCCATACCCCTCTCCCCTGGAAAATTGCACCCATACCCCCCAAAACACGCAAAATCCCCCCTTGAAAAACAATATAAAGGTTATAAGTTGCTCCTACCATTGAAATAGGCAATCAGTTTGCAGAATTTACAAATTAGTGTTAAAGGCACATGTTCATGGAAATACCCACGTTATCGGTGTGTATACAATAGAACCACATGTTATATTTCACAAGTCCAAAAATATCTGCACCAGCTATGCACATATTTCTTACCTCATTATTGATTAGTATCCAACAGACTGAGTGTGAACTCAGTTTGTTTTCCTTATTTTCTGTCGTGTGGTTATTGCGGTGAATTGTATTGCACAAAATTATCAATTCATTAGAGGAAGCATTACTTCAATAAAATAAACATTATGAAAATTCAATTAGGTAGTAAGGTACAATTAAATGACATAAAAAGTAACACAGCATATTGTCTAGTCTAAGAGATAAAGCTACATGTAGTGGAACTTAAAAATAATTTAAATTTGCAAATTAATTTACTACATCAGTCATTTTGAATTATAATTTACATTAAAAAGATATGTTTGAACAACAACATTTAACATAGGCCATTTACAGTCTGAGTATTTCCAACTAAATTTCAAAAAATACCGTCTAGAGGATGTAGTCTACTCAATTGATTCTAGCTTGAACATTCTCTCAAAGCTACAGCTGTCTTTTGAAATACTGGTCGATTTAAAAAGTCTGCGATTTGAGACAGCTGCAACTTTTGGGCTTTGAGAGAACACTTAGGCTGGTCTTTAGATTAAATTGAAGTAAGAAATATGTACATAGCTAGCACCGACTTTTATGTCTTTTGATAAATAACATAATGTTCTTTGGATTCGGTCTGCATAACCTGAGATTTTCTTGGCACAAGATACTTACCAGGCTTACTCAGTTACTTAAAGAAGGCAATGCAAAGATAATTTCCTGAAAAAAAAACAAAGAAATAAAACACATGCCTTCATACTATATTTTGTACCAGAAATGTTCAAAATATTTCCATATACACGTGCCTTTAAAGGGTTCCGATTAGCATCCCGTATAAAAACAATATGGCGGCTCCAGGCGAATCAACTGGATCAGTCCATTTTTAAGAAATAAGGGGAGTTCTGTAAAATCCAGTTTATTGAAATTGTCTTTGAGATAAAGTAATCCGTTTATAATGATTTTGAAAACGTTATCCAAAGAGTGATTGCGTTCAAATAATACATGTACAACAGCCAATGTAAATTCTTGTATTAGAAACCGGTTTGTCTTGCTTTGTTTCATTTGTAGGATATTTCATATGCCAAGCTGTGTGCTATTACGTTATGGGGAAATTTAGATGCCATTTTTTCCTTATTATACACTAATAGAAGATCCTGAAACTTCACCCATAAATGTGGAATTAATTTGTCAAAATAAAAATCACCCTTTTATAAATGTGTGACGATCTATAATATACTTATGCTATATAACAGTTAGAGGTGTTGACACAACGACCTCGGACCTGTGAACCCTTGAGTATTATTCCGGGATCGGGCCTTTTATACTAAACGGTGAGCAACACCAGAAACGAGCGTTCGATTTGCTAAACGATATGCGTCACCCTTTAACAGAATGTCAGTAAGTCATACGCTCAGAATGAATTATTGCTTATATTACTGTAACAGGATATTTCTAGGTCAACTTTTTTTGCCTTAGCTATGGTGGTTTTGATGACATCTAGTCTCAACAGTATATTTTCACGTACTAGTTAGCTATTAACGGTTCACAATTCTTTAGAATGTATGAATAACTAGAATATTCAGTGGTTTACTTTTCAAACTACTGTCCTATATTTTCAAAAACACATGAAAAGTTCAATATGTGAAGCAAGTGACCACATAGTTTATGACTGAAATTAGATGCCCAAAATGTGGAACAGACATGACAGAAAATAATACCATGAACTTATAACAAAAGTGTTCTAGATACTCTCATCTACTTGAATAAAGTTATATTAGAAGGCTACACATGTTGCATAATTTGACCAAATTGTCTAAAAGTCTAAAGAACAAGGAAGTAATTGCCAGATTGGAACCTATATATTGGTTCCAACATTGCAGTTTACATGTAGGTTACATGTATTTTGTTTGGATCTAGTGTACTATATACTGCTTGTAGCTCTCAATTCAGAGTAAGGTCATGTGCCTACTAGTGTAATGTATCCTGATCTCTAGACAAGTTCACTAATTTGTTATATTGAAGTTGTAAAAGTTTTATCCTGATATATTCAGATGACCTGTGTACTTTCTCAACAGACTAAATGATTATGAAAAGCAAAAATAAAAACTGAATATTTCATAATTAGTTAGTTGAACTCGCTACCATTGTTCACTTCACACAATCAAAATTAAAATGTAATGTTTCCATTGGTAACTACAATATTTTTTCATTATTTATTATTTCTTCAACATAAATTACACAATTCCGGGCTCAACGATGACGTCAGAAGGAATGACCATATATAGAACGTCGGTCAAATTTGGCCAACGAACACTGATTGGCGCGGTGAGTTCACAGGTTTATTTTAGTTTGAAAGAGTGAAGACGAAGCTCTCTTTTAAGAAGTGAAGTCAAACAAATGCAAAGGGTAACGATTCTGTTGTCCTCTGAGCTATTTTTTCGCAAACATGTACATTTTCAAAAACATATGATACCGTGATACACGTTTGTGAGAAAGAATGTCGTGGGGAATCTGCCTACAACGCGTGAAATAAGGAAAAAGAAAAATCGTACCTTCGACGTTCCGACAAACCTTTTCACTAACCAGTGTAATCAAGTGGATCCCCAGTATATAGGATGTATGATGTAAATTAGTACTGATCTCACTTGAGAATGAAGATATTCTAATTCTCATTGTCTGAATTAAAAATGTTTAAATAATATGCAGTAACTGTTTCAGAGAAAAATGTCATATTTGTTAATTTTAATGATTCTTCATGTTTTTGGGGAAATCATGTTTTACTGTTCCAGAAATGAAGAGGAGTTCTATGAAAGCCATGACACTGTAGAGAAAGTTATACCCTTAACAAGAGCATACCAAAGTTTTCCTTATCTTAGCATTAAGCATTATATAGGATCACAAATACATTGCAAATATGAAAGTCAGAAAAACCTGTATACAGCTAGCTGTAGCATACTTTGTTCTGTTGGCTGGGATTAAATTTCGAAATAATAAACATGACCGAGATTTTTGTCAGACAAGTCCATACACAAAATACTCAAGAAATACATGTACATTAACTGACTTATTACCGCCTTTTAAAAGACTGAAAGACACTGCACCCGTATGCCTCTATAGAATACTCCCCCACAGACTACCACCACCACCCCCCTATTATTAACCCCCCCTTCATAATGGCTTTGCAAATACCCCCCCCCCAGAATATTCCATGGTCAATACCCCCCCCCAGAATTTTTTCTGTCTCCTACCCCCCCCCCAGAATTTTTCGGTCAACACCCCCTCCCCAGAATTTTTTGGTCTCCTACCCCCCCCCCCCCCAGAATTTTTTGGTCAACACCCCCCCCCCCCCAGAATTTTGCATCCATCCCCCCCGTACATTTTTTAAATGGAATGGCCCATTTCTAAACTAAGACTAAGACTACTCAAGCGCACAACAAGAAGTCGCTCACATAACCTAATATAGACTACAGCTTGCACAGCGTTCATTCCAAGGTGATCACGCACATATTCTTCCCTAACATAGAATACAGCTTGCACAGCGTACGCTCCAAGCTGATGGCGCACACAATCTTGCCTAACATAGACTTCAGCTAGCATTGTGTACATTCCAAGGTGATCGCACACATATTCTTCCCTAACATAGAATACAGCTGGCACAGCGTACACTTCAAGGTGATCGCGCACATAGTCTTGCCCAACTTAGACTACAGCTAGCGCAGTGAGACTATCAGGCATCATAAAAGGGCTCCTAAAAGAACAACAAATTCCTTTTGAAATTGAATCAGTTTAGATTCATTATTATTCCTTTGAAGTCTACTTGTTATTTCACATTCACAGTGTTTATGAGTGAACTTTAAACACTACAGTGTATTACTACATTACAGCGGCCAAAGTATGGAGGTTGATCCAGGGTTTGGTGACCTGCTTCAGCAGGCCCAGCAGTTGACATCAGACATGGACAGTGGTGGAGATCTACCCAGGGTTCAGAGGAACTTACATCAAATCGCTGAGACAGGAGAGAGACTATGGTCTCGAACTGCACAGATAGGACAAGATAGCACTGATGTTAGAGCGTAAGTGTATTTTACTTTTTGGTCATCAAACTGTATCTGAACAATTACAGAACTTCATGTACTTCTTGGTCCATTTTTACATGTATTCACAATTACGTCAATTTAGGTCAATTCTACTTGGCTCCAAAGGATTTGACCTGCCCAAGATATCCCAGAAGTTAGAAGGTTTAAGTACAGCCAAGACATTTGAACCACTAGAGCCACTCAGGGATACAGACATCAATGGTTTCCTACGTAATGAGCGAGAAAATGCCCTTCTGGCAGCCATTGAACAGGCCAGGAAAAATGTGAGTCATTGTTTCTATTTATTAAGATTAATTTTGGGAATAATAGTATACCTTAAAACTTGAACTTAATTGAAATTCTGTAAAGTTATAAAAATGAAATGAATTAAACCTCTCAATGTGAAAATTTTTTGTCAGTCCACTTTTTTCATTTTAATCTGCCATTGACTTCAATGTTCAAAAAACTTGAAATGTGAACACTCATCAATCCAATCACAATTTGCTAGTTCCAGTTCAGATTAGACTGGTTTTACTCTCAATAAAATTATGAATTTTTAGACATCAGAAGAGACAGAAAAGAGGCACTGGTCTGGCCTGGAAGAAGAATGGGAGAGAGAGAAGCAGAAAATCCTCAATGCTTTAATAGGTAGTGGCCAAGATATAAGAGACTTTACACAGGAATCAGAGGTAAGATTTTGAAAAATCTGAACCAGTTCCTCTCACATTTAACCAATGACCTGAAATCCTTGTAACTAAAATCCCTGATTAATTCTATTGGCTTTTGTTTTGTAGAGCATACTATCAGATAGTATCAGCATGCAAGGACGTAGTGCTATGGACAATGTTGAGATGGCCTATGCTAGACAAGTCTACATGTATAATGATGCAGTGATACAGGGTGGTACCAGACCCTCACTGGTTGATATGTTCAGTGAAGTGGCAAATAAACTTGATGATCAGGTAATCTGGGAAAACTGAGGAAATCTGGTAAAAATTTTATATTTGAAAAATTTCTGCATATTGTCTCTTGGCCTATACTAAGGATTTCAGAACATAATATGTATATTTGCTAAAAGTTTATTTAGAAATAAAACTCATTTATTCATTCTGTTAAAGCTACCAGTGTAGCACTAAGTTTATGTTCATAGCAACTGTGTTTGTTTTCTGCATTTTGTAGTACATGTTAACGTTACCCATAACAATAATTTATAATGAGTATAAAATATGTTACTCATATTCACTTTGCCCATTGTTGCTTTTGTTTATAGAATGTTATAGAAATCTGGCAAATGGTCCAGCATATGGTAGACATTCCACTGACAGCATCCTCTAACATGCTATCTGCTCGCACAGGGAAGAAGATGCAGATTGCTTTAGTGGGTCAAGCCTTGAAATATTTAGAATTAAGGTACATTGTAATTCTGTTCAATCCATTATGTGAGAGAGTAAAATACTGTGGGGCACATACAGTCTTTATATTGGTCAGATCCACTCTATATATGGGCCATTTCCACTCTATATATGGGCCATATCCACTCTATATATGGGCCATTTCCACTCTCTATATGGGCCATATCCAATCATATATAGGTTATATCCAATCCATGTATTCATGGGCCATGTCCACTAAAGATATTGCCTATGGTCATATCTACTCTTTATCTTTTGTAGGATTAAAAAAGTTGTCTTTAACTTTATCAAGGTTCTATTTTAGTGACTCGAAACCCTCACAGTGATCTCCCAAGCATTAAAGCAAGTGGGCGCAGCACCCACCTGAGATCTTAAAAACAGGCTGGCCCGAAAATCCATTTGCACCCACTTGAAGAGGAGAAAAATCATGTAAAATGGTCATATTTTGACCAATTTTGGTCTGAATTGTAAAAATGAGAGTTTTGCACCCACTTGAGAAAAAAATCCTAGGGAGAACACTACCTCATAGATTTTATTATTCAAGTCATCAACTCAAATATATGACTAATGTTAGCAATGATATTTTTAAGTTGTTACAGATCTAATTTCTTATTCATTTGCTTTCATTCTTTAGTTACAAGAGTTACATACAGAAGACCATATATGGGAATCTCCAAAAGGCGCAGTTAGGTGGAATTCCAGGATCCTATCATCTTGTTAAGAGTTTTCTCAATATTAGACTTCCCACAAATACCCCAGGGCTAGAGGTAATATGAGTTTGTGAATAAATATCCTAATATCAAAGACAGAATTATCTGATTGATACATGAATGAGAAATAGTCAATAGACTTGTGACTGAAGCAATAGAAAATAAAAGATTTGTCACTCTCAGATGGATCCCTTGAAATTTCTGATACAATGGATTAAGATATAGAATAGAAATCATAGGTTTCAGGTCTATACAAAGATAGGAGCAATGGTAGAATTTTATAAGAGATTGACATTACTGCCATCTTTATTTAAATGTTTTCATTGCCCTTTCCCCTAAGGTCAAAATATAACAAGTCCTGATGGATTTCTAAAATTTTATTTTTATTTTTAGGATGGTCTTGTTGATGGGACACCTGTATGGGCGTTTGTGTACTATTGCATTAGATGTGGGGACCTTAATGCTGCATTACAAGTTGTAAACAAAGCACAGTGAGTAAACATTTGTATACAATTAAATGACCTTGACATTGCCAACATACCCACTATTTGTGGTAGAGAATTTGGTGAATTCCTGCAGAAATTCTCACATATGCCATACATGTAATTCATAAATATGTTGTATGAAAATAGATATGAATAGCACAGTGAGTCAACATTTATGGAATACTATTTTGAAAAGTTGACAGAACACAGATTTCACTGTATATCAAATATTAATCAAAAAGACTTGCTTAAATACCATTGCCAACCTCAAATCCAGTTTTGGCTTTCTCAGCTGTATTTCCATCTGAATTTGTATTGTGTAACAAGTGCCCATTTACAGTGCCTTTCAATAATTGAAATGATATTAACTTTATATTACATCTAGATTATATGTCTAATTTTAGACAACATCTAGGTGAGTTTCCAAGCTACCTCAAGGAATACATGGGCAGTGATAACAGGAGACTCAGCCACAACAACGAAACAAAGTTACGTCTTCAGTATCGCAGGTCTATCAGAAACTGCAGCGATCCTTACAAAAGGTAGTCAAAAATAAAAAAATTGATTCTGTTCAATATTTTATAATATTTGTTGATATACATGTGAGTGACATGATTTTACGTTTAGTATTTTAGCGCAGTGTTATTTGGCTTTATCAAATGAGAGTTTCTATATCAGCTTGCTGTGCAATTACATTATATTTTTCATATGTCAATGCTGTATTCATCAATATTTTCTGGATTTTAATTCATTAAAATGTTGTGCTGCATAATTGACATTTCAGAATTGTTAAAAGCATCCTATAAACTTTCTTTTTCAGTGCTTTGATGATAAATATTTCAGGGCTGTACATGCTAAATTATTATTTCTGAGCTATATATTGCAAAATTATTCCAGGGCTGTGTATTGCATAATTGGGTGAATGTATTTTTCAGGGCTGTGTATTGCATAATTGGGTGAATGTATTTTTCAGGGCTGTGTATTGCATAATTATCCCATCGAACGAAGTTCGGAGGGATATAGGGAACGCCTCCGTCCGTACGTACGTCCGTCCGTCCGTCCGTACGTACGTCCGTACGTCCGTCCGTACGTACGTCCGTCCGTCCGTACGTACGTCCGTCCGTCCGTACGTACGTCCATCCGTCCGTCCGTCCGGGCAATAACTCAAATACCGTTGGCCCGATTTTATTCATATTTTGTACACATATACCCTATGGGGGTAGAAGTTCTGCTCGAAAGCCGATTTTCAAAATGGCCGCTCATTTAAAAATGGCGGCCATTTTAGTGCCGATTTTACAGTAATTTAGGTGCAATATGTAAAACTGTAATAGCAATATGTTTTAAATGTAAAAAAAATTATATAGGACATAAATAAAGCTAGAAGTGTAGATATTAAAAAAGCACATGGCAGCCATCTTGAAAAATGGCGGCCTTTACTCATTATTTTACGATTTTTGCTGTAACTCGAAAAGTAGTTGAGCGATTTTGTTCATATTTGGTATGTGAATACTATAAGCATGGCACACTGTCTAATGACACTTTTGGTAGAAGGCGGCCATTTTGAAAAATGGCGGACATTTTGAAAAATGGCCGCCATTTTAACTTATTTTACTAAAACTCGAAAAGTAGTGGAGCGATTTTGTTCATATTTGGTATGTTAATACGTATAAGCATGGCACACTGTCTAATGACACTTTTGGTAGAGGGCGGTCATTTTTCATAATGTCCGCCATTTTAATGTATTTTACTATAACTCGAAAAGTAGTGGAGCGATTTTGTTCATATTCGGTATGTGAATACTGTAAGCATGGCACACTGTCTAATGACACTTTTGGTAGAAGGCGGCCATTTTGAAAAATGGCGGACATTTTGAAAAATGGCTGCCATTTTAACTTATTTTACTATAACTCAAAAAGTAGTGGAGCGATTTTGTTCATATTTGGTACGTGAATCCGTATAAGCATGGCACACTGTCCAATGAGACTTTTGGTAGAAGGCGGCCATTTTTCAAAATGGCCTCCATTTTAACGTATTTTACTATAACTCAAAAAGTAGTAGAGCGGTTTTGTTCATATTTGGTATGTGAATATTATAAGCATGGCACACTGTCTAATGACACTTTTGGTAGAAGGTGCCCCTTTTGAAAAATGTTCGATGGGATTCGCTACGCTTTGGCGTTGCCGTTGTTCTGGTTGGGTTAATGTATTTTTCAGGGCTGTGTATTGCATAATTGGGTGAATGTATTTTTCAGGGCTGTGTATTGCATAATTGGGTGAATGTATGTATTTTTCAGGGCTGTGTATTGCATAATTGGGTGAATGTATTTTTCAGGGCTGTATATTGCATAATTGGATGTTGCGACCCTAAAGAAGATCACTCTGAAGTTGCAGAAAAGACTGATGATTATTTATGGACAAAACTTAACCAGTTGTCATATGACGCTGGGAGTAATGATACAAACACGCAGCAAGACAGAATGACACTACAGCAGTTGCAAGTCATGATGCTTGAAGAATATGGTACAAATTAGAAAAAATTTAAATTTTAGATGTCATTTAAAGCTTGTAACCCAAGAGGCATCCTAGTCTTTAAGACTTAGGAATATAGCAATATTTCACTCTTAATTGCTCTTACTGTTTCGATTCATGCAAAGGTATTGATTTACATTTGGGGCTAATGTTTTTAGATGAGGGGCTTATATTATAGCCCATTTTATATTATCATGGAATTTTTACCTTGAGAGCTTCCATATTTTTCTGACTATGTGATGACCTTAAAATCTGGCTGCCATTTTCAGGAGAAAGTCATTTCAATGCCTACCAGAACCCCTACCTGTATTTCCAAGTGTTGTTGCTCACTGGGCAACTAGAGGCCGCCATCGACTTCCTGTCACGTGTTGAGAGATTGCGTAGTCATGCCGTCCATGTTGCCTTGACCTTACATGAAATGAAGATGTTGCTACTGCCAAATAGCATTCAGGCTCAACTATGTATGTATGATTTGTGATGTTTTATTTTAATCATGGCACTAACTTTGAATATTTTGAGAAATTTGACTTCTTGTTGGAAATATCCTTCAAAGCTGATTGCTGAATTTTGAAACCAAAATATGTATTAGCTTGAACATTTGAACGCTGTCATCAATTGCATTGTCTAAGAAAAGTTTTATCTGTGTCAACAGTATCTTGTTGTTGCTCATTGAAATTATGTTAATAAATTACTTTGAAATTGCTCCCTTGTAAAAAGTGCTTGATTGTACAATTTAATTAAACAAAACCTGTGTAAACGGAACACCCTTGGTAAATCTAAAATGTAAAAAGTGGTTTACTTTTAGAACTATGTGTTCCATGTACAGAGGTGTTCCATATAACAGACTCTGCTGTATCTGTACATTACATACTGTTAAATGCTCCAATTTTATTCCAGTGTCTAAGGAGAATGCTGACCCCAGTGGCATCAGGAGACTAAACTTTTCTAGGCTTATTATGATGTACACAAGGAAGTTTGAGGCCACTGACCCAAGAGAGGCCCTGCAATACTTTTATTTTCTCAGGTATGTATTTATCCACTACCCTTAAGGGGGAGCAATAATACCCATATCCTATGCCCACATCGATTTAATGCATTGTTTTAAGTGAACTCAAAAATTAATCTTTAAAACATTCCGGTTTATTACCACGGAATAATGGAATAGTAGATTAAGAATTATGGGTAATTAGATTGATCCAAATAATATATTCTGCCTATTAGATGCCTATATTCAGTGAATGGAATTTTAGAAATCTCAAAGGAGCTAGATACTATCATCATGAGTGTAAATATAATTTGTTCTTCATAATCATAGAACAAGTGCAGCTTAATCTCTTCCATAAAGTTATTGAATGCACCACAAGTTTGGGTCACTACATGTATTTTATGTATTTCTTAATTCAGGGATGTGAAAGCACCTCAGGGGGAGAACTTATTCATGTCCTGCGTTAGTGAACTTGTCTTAGAGACTAGAGAGGTGAGTTATACCTTACATATGGTCATAGGGCCAAGATCTGACTATCAGGGTTGAGGCATGATGGGTAAATAACATGGAAGCCATTTTGAATATTTGGATAAAAACATGCGGTATTTATCACTACGTGACTCGTGTATAATTATATATGATACTTTGATTTGAAGGATCTGTAGGCCCTAGTATAGGCATATCATAAACATTTCCTACTGTATGAAATTATATTGTATACCATTTACGGACCCATGTATTGGTTGTGTATTGTGTAGGTTTCAAGAATAGGATTTCCAAAGTTAGATCCTTTTATGTACATATTATGATGACAAAACAGATAGTTTTGAACAGCCCATGTTTATGTGTGCACTGTACATACGATATACAGTAAAACCTCGTATACTGTATATGCGCCCCAAGAGAATATCTCATTGAAGTTGTTGGGGACTCAATAAAGGACAATTGCATGAATGCTCTTTGCTATTTTTGCAATACATGTAGCCAAGTGCCTCACAGGATGGATTTTCCCAAGAATAATGTATAATCACTAGACACCTTTCATTTTTTTCAAATGTTAGATAAAAACAGTTTTTATTCAAAGTTCAATAAACTCATATAAGTTCAGTTAATTATATTAAACATTCTTTCGTATTGCATCATTGTTTCATTCTCCATGTTCCTGCACTTCTCTCTGCTGTAGGTGAGAATTTTTTTTTAAGAAAAAACAAGTAGTGCATGGTTTTGCACTAAATTCTAAACATAATCTATTCTGTTAATTATTGTAACTGTATGATTTTCGGTGGCAGGTTTTACAGTTTTTAGTTCATGATATACCATGTTTCCCCTCCCACCTGCTCACCTAATAAAACCAATTTTTGTTCAAAATAGCTAGGCCTCTACTATTGTGGCATAAACTACTATAAAGACTGCAGGGTAAAATGTGCTTAAAATGATGAAAAATAGTTTAACATTTTCAAGAAAACAGTTCAATTTAACTGACTTTTTGTTCGATAAATAGTCTTTAATTCTGAAAATGTAGTAAAGTACTTCAAGTACATGTAAATAGCTTCTGATATAGAACTATATACTATTGGGTCTCTGTCATAAATATGTTAGACCATGTCCTCCAAATCATTCCATCCATGTTCTATCATCTTCTGAAAAACTGCTGCAAAGTCATCCACCCAGAGTTGGTTGTCATTTGCATATTCAACTACTTTGCTGTTAGTTGTTGCATCAGCGCAATTGTCGTATGTGCAACCAGCCACGGCACCAGTCAGTTGGAGGTTCTTTGCAAGACACATATCGGAGTTCAGCATGAGTTTGGTGTTGTCGGAACGAACCCATTGCCATCTCTCATCATTCGAAGTGCCAGCATTCACATCAATCTTAACAGAAAATATAGTCTCATTTTGTGAAAACAGTAAAATTCCACAAATAGAGGTTCACTTAATACAACACCAACATGTTTCAGGAAGAAGCATTTCGCTTATTGAGGTGTTCCATTTATAAAGGTGTTTGTAGTTTTTACTAGTTTTCAGGTGCATAGTTTTCTTGGCGAGGTGATATCTATTTTGGAATATTTTTTCTGAAACTTTTTGAACCAGAATATCCTATTTGTGAACTAATGATTTTGTAGATATGTCTTTAACTGGAATAATGCTTAAACAGCACCAAATTGATAGTATTTTGGAAAATGAAGAACAATACCTGATTCCATCCCAGTGTCGTGTCCAACATGTCAATATAGAACGCATTATCGAGACCATCCCAATCCCCGACCCATGGATTCTGAAACCCTGACGCTTGGTTCCCATGGGCACGACCGAGGGTATGGGCTCCTAATAAGGCCACTATCTCATCTTCAGTGAACCCAAAACCATCAGGGTTAGTAAAGAATGATAATGTTTCTGTAAGACCATCATGTGCATCCGGAAAAGCATTTGTTGTGATCGGTGTAACACAGTCAACACGCCCTAGTAGTTAAAAAAAATATTGGTTTGTAATTACAGTATTGATTGGTAATTCTTTATATCACAAAAATCTACATTTTACATCGAATACAAATTAATTATCATAATCAAAATAATCTTAAGTAATCGTTGTTGCATTATGTGAAAGTTGTCAACAACAGAAGTAAATCAAACCATTTGAGACCTTTATATTACTTGTAGAAACAATGTGATTAATTAAAGTAAATAGCAACTCAATGTTGCACATGACGGGATTAAAGTACAATAAAACCTCTATAAATTAAATACATGTGGTACCTCTCAAATGTATTACACTTTCAGAGGTTCATTCAAACATTGAACCATTATTTCATGGGATTCTGAATAGTGTTCCATTTGCAGAGGTGTTCCTCTTGACAGTTATTACTGTACCTGTTCGAAATGTCAAGCCAGTGGTAAAAGTACGACAGGATGCACGGTTACAGTTGTCAATGCCGCGATCAACCGCAACTATTCCAGCCAATGCCCAAAAATCTGCTCTGGAAAGTTTATCACTATGTGTTGCATACGCCACCTCAAGGTCATCAATGTAGTCACTTAGACCCGCATTGTCAGCTTTACTCAAATCAACACATCCATCACACGCATCACCAACACAGTCGTGGAAGCTAAGTCGCGTAAATCCACCAACATGTGTTTCTATTGTCACTAGATTAGGCATCGTGTCAACATTTGTTTCAATATTTGTTATAATATCAGCTCTGATAGCATCAACCTTATAAGAGAGATATTTAAACCTTACCATTTAAATGTTTGACCCTTATTCTATATGAGGACTTAGTACTGTGTTTGAGACTTTGTGTACTTTATATTAAACTAATCTCTCTATTTTTGTAAAAAATTATTTTGAGAATTTGAGAAAAATTCAAAAGTGTGGTTGATATTTGAGGGATTATTTTTAACTGAGGTACCATAAGAATTTTTGCAGTTTTAACTCTGCCTTATCAAGTTATCATTTTTAACCTACCTCAGTTGTGGTTAAAGTAGTGTAGAGGTCTTTAAGGGTTTCATCTGTGTTTTCAATCATTTTCTCAAAGGCAGGGCCAAACTCACTAATCCATAGTGTGTTGCTAGCTGCATAAGCTTCCACCTTTGCTTTCGTACTGGCATCAGGACATGATGAGTAGGTGCATGCTGAACTGCCATCATTTGCGGAGAGGTCTAGTTCTTTATAAAGGTTCATGTCTGTGTTAAGCATCATTCTTTGCCCTTGATCCCACTGCCATCTTGCTGCTCTGTTATTTCCTGCATTTAGATCACTTTGTGTCCAACCCAGGCTTGAGTCTATCATATCAACATAATAGCCATTATTAAGGAGTGCTTTTTTCTGTACCCATGCTCCATTGAACCCAACATTTGCTTTGCGTGCTTTTCCAAGTGTATGTGCACCCATCAGGGCTACAATTTCATCATCAGATAGATTTAGGTCATTAGCATTACCCAATACTGTGAATTCATCAGTCTCAACATTATGGGCATCGGGGATCGTTTGCGATGTGGTTGTTTTTGGAGATTCTGCACAATCAACACGTCCAAACCTAAATGTAATAGTTGGAACCTCTGGTGTGCCGCAGCTTGGACCATTACAATTATTTGCAGCATCTTCTAAAGCTACTATGGCGGCTAGAGCCCATAAATCAGCACGGGACATAATCTGTGTATAATCAGGATCATAGAATTCATCAAGCTGATCAATGTATTGTTCAAGTCCAGCGTTTTTCTCATCAGCAACATTGACACAGCCGTCACATCCTCCGATGCAGTCAGTGTATGCAAGGCGTACAACACCGGCCAACAGAGATGTTCCAGGGTTATTATCAACATCCTTAGCAGTTATATGAGCACTTATCAGGGCTTTTATACTCTCAACTCTGGTCTCCGTCAGCGCTTCACATTTGGTTGCTAATGCTGTTATCATGGCAACCACTAAAATAACTTTGACTCCCATTTTGGGCGACTTCTCCAATTACCTTTTAGATTATTTTCTAAAAACAAATTAAAAAAGTTTCCTCACCTAATTCTATTGCATTAGTAATAAAAACTAAGTTATTCTTTAATTTCAGTGAAATAACACATCAATCATGACATGCATTCTGGGGTGTTGTGCATATAAGAAAAAATTCAGAATTGAAATTTGATAAATTGTACCTTTATTAGTTTTGCCAGTCTTGAGCTAGTAAACTTGAGTGAGTCTCTGAACTGCTCAAGAAGAATAAAGATTTTCAACTCTTGTGATAGTCTTCCATAATTTGCTTTAAAGGCCCCATGCAAAGCTAATTGAAGGCCCTATGTGAAATTTAAACTCTTTATTATGTTGAAGTCTTTTAATTGTTGTAGTCTTACCTGATGCTATCAAAATGTGATATGTGAAACTTTTTTCATTTCTTATTCATTTTTTTTGAAGTACCTTTTATTAAAAATATCTTAATTTGTTTTTTTATTTCAAATTAGATTTTACACTGTTACTGAAACAGATCGTTTTTTGACATTGATCCTATTGACATATTTCAGCCACTTCCATAGGCATACAAAATTGTTTAGACAAAATTTTTTTTATCAGAAAAGTCACTTGTGAAACTCAATCCATAGTTACTCTGGGGTCTGTTTTTGGAACCGCTATAACTTACAATTTGGTCACAAGTCATTGTTATCAGAAAATAAACAATGGTTTTTCTCGAATTCATACGTTACAATCGTATCATAAAGTGAACCCCTGTAGCGTATTCCCCTCTACTTGTATTTAGTAGTACATACCTTATTATTCCAGTCCAGCAGAAAAGGAACTGATAGGTTTCCTATGAATCAGCTAATAACATCAAAATCTTATGTTTGTTTAATTGAAAATTTGTTTTTGTTATTTTTGCAATATAAGTCAGTAGTGCTATCGAAGCATTATTGGTGGCTGAATAAACATCTATTAAATATTAAATGACACGCTTTTTGGATATTAATAATAGAATAAAAGAAAATGTAAATGCAGAACTAATATATATTATAGAAATACTTAAGACATTTTTTATTTAAATATTGTTATCCAAATGTATGAAAATCCTGAGTGGTATTGTGGAGCTCTCTGTCTTTCTGTTTGTCAGGCATTTCTAATTTTATATATAGATCAAAATCACCTCCAATGAATTATAATTCTACTTTTCATTTTTTGAAAATTTTGCAGTTCTAAGACAATTTAGAACCAAACTACCTTGTGCTGTCAATTAATTGTAAGAGTTACTCTTATTTGTGGTGTTAATGTTATAGTCTACTTAATTTATTGTGTTTTATTCGAGTGTTATCGCAGCTGAAAGTTCTGTATTAAATCATTCATTAAAGTGATTGGTTTTAAAACATCTTACTGAATTGGGTATAAATTATTCAAGGCTTGCACTTTATTTCGATTGCATTTTGCAAGTTGAATTCAATATGTATAAGTATATACAGTATTGACTTAATAGGCCCCTTTGTAAACATGAAAACAACTCCATATTCCCTCTGAAATGTACACAGTGCTTTCCCTAAGTTAACATAGAAAAGGTGAAATACTTAAAAATTCTAATGGCCGCAATTAGATATTTTATTGTATTGTAGATTGAGATACTTGACCACAAGAGCATGATTGACCTTGACCCTGACTAGAAATGATAAATTTACAGTTTGGTGTCCAACCAATCAGATAACTCTTCACCACTGGCTCTCATTCCGCAAGTACATGTACAGTATTATTTTATTTTATCCTTTTATTGTTTTGCAGTTTGAGATGTTACTTGGGCGCTTAGAAAGAGATGGAACAAGGAAACATGGGGCCATCGATAAATTCCAGGCGGATACAGGAAAGATTATTGAACTGGTTGCCTTGGATACTGAAAACAAAGGACTTTTTGAGGATGCAGTTAAACTGTATGATCTTGCAAATGTAAGTGCACGCATTAAATGCTTGCTAATTATCCCACCAAATGAAGTTTTATTTGGTAGGTATATGAAGAAGGCGTCCACACATCCATCCCTTCATTCCTCTATCCATCTGCCGGTGTGATACCTCAGATACTAGTAATTACTAGTGTTCAAAATAACAAGCGATTTGATGACATATATTTTGTTCGGTGGAATTTGCTTCTCTGGGGAGTTGCTGTTTTTCTAAATCACCCCTTTTTGACCCTTGCTATCAGCATTACATGCATCAAAATGTCATGAAATTAGATTTGAAATATCTAATAATAAAAAATCCATGAATAGATGCAAAATTAAAAAGCACTATCAAACATAGAACAAAAATGATTTATTATCAAATGTATTGTAGTGCGCTTAGGAGTAATAATAAATACTCAGAACGAACATCAAATGTAAGAAAGCAAATAATTTTTAATTTCATTTTTTCACTGTAATACAATATGCCTTTCTTGTATATTTTCATTCCATTTCTCAAGCACATCTGCTGACTGAACTAATATTAATTGTCAGGATAAATATCTGGGGCATGTCACATTACTTATGTGTATTCAATGCAGAAACAAATATCCCATGAATAAGGCCATTAGACCTAAATTTATTTGTTCTTGATTGGTTAATTTTGAAAATCATCTTGCAAATAAGGAAAAAACAATTTAGTGGGGGGAATTTGCTGGAAAATATTTCAATTGGTGATACAAGCAAATTTAATGGCTTAATCTGTTATTTATGGTATTAGGAAAAATTCCATCCCTGTGATCAATAAAACCGAACACTATTTCAAGAAAAATTCAAGATGGCCGCCATATAGGCATAATTTGGTACAAATAACACTCTAGATTCATATATAGAGATAGATATGGTTTAAAAATAACATTGGAACAGGAGTAAAGCATGTTGTTTACATCTAGAAATACAGTCACATTCATTAATGATTTGAATTTGGACAAAATGATTTTATATAGGGATTCTACAAGGTTCTATTTTGGGAGGGCTCTTATTTTGCAACAACTGAAGTCTGTATTTGTAAGTCCTGACTTTTTACATCTGTTATTATGCTATTAGGAAAAATTCCATCCCTGTGATCGATAAAACCGAACAGTATTTTAAGAAAAATTCAAAATGGCCGCCATATACGCATAATTTGGTACAAATAACACTGTAGATTCATATATAGAGATAAATGTGGTTTAAAAATAAAACTGTTTCAGTAGTAAAGCATGTTGTTTACATCTAGTATTTTGGGAGGGCTCTTATTTTGCAACAACTTAAGTGAATGAACCTGTTTTCTTGAATAAAGATAATATTTCAAACATAATTTTATCTTATATTTCAGGTTCAAATTAAATTATTGTCTTCCAAATACAAAATAGCCTTTGAAGGAGTTCCACATGGATCTTTTTTACTCTCTTATAATTTCAATCTCATAAATACTGTCACAAAATGTAAGTCCTGGCTTTTTACAAGTGCATACAGAACATAGCTTTTTATATGAACATTGTACAAGAGCTTGGCAGGCTTTGGAGGACTGTGTCTGGGTTGTTCACAGTGGGGTAACAGTTTCATAATTGTCCCATCCCCAGTTGATGTAGTCGTAAAGGCCAGGTGGTGAAGCATTTAGCATTTGTCCCCAAACTACACCAGCCTGGTAAGCTGTCCCTTTAATGTGCTATTCCAAGGCATGTGAGTAGGTGGAATTCTCTCGATTGGTCTTTCTTTTTTAGCAAAATAAGCACTTTCTGGGTGTATTTATATCAATTGTTTCACTTGTTCTGTATATGGAAAACACCCACATATGAGTTGGGCTGTTGCCCTAGTACATGTAGTTGTTGCAGATGTGTCATGTTTGCAAAATGTTAGAATAGATTTTTTACCATATTTTTTATTCATTTTTGTTTATTCTTAAAAAAACATCCATGGCCTTAGCCCCAGACATTACAAAATTAATTGTTCATTAAATATTATTTAGAAATTGTGATAATTTAATAATTCAAAATAATTGTAGAATATTGGAAGATTTAATTTCTAATTAGCAAATTCCTACCCAAATTTTAAATTATCTTCCCTCCAATCGTTTCCTTCCTCTTTACTGAGGAGTCATAACATACCACATATTTGAAATTAAAGGACAATTAAAGGACACGGCGTCCAACACAAACGCTCTTACATGCAAGATTGAGCGTTTCATTACTGAAACTAAACAAAGAAATGCTCTGTAGAATGGCGAACGGAAATGATGAGTCATCTGACAATTTCCCCAATGATGGGAATTAGAAGTATGTGTTACTTATTTCAAGTAAACCATTTGATGGGTGTGATATATTGTACTTGGATGGCTGTTGACGTTTGAAGCAATTAGGAAGAACTGTCTTAAGCAGTATAGTTATCTAAATTCATAAACGTATTTGTCATTCTTCCAGTCAAAACCCTGTTTGTCGAGACATGCGACTAGTTGAGTTGAGCATCAGAGTATATTTTGGTCAAATTCCAAACCTTGATCACACCATACATTATCGTAATCGTGATTTGATAACAAAAAATCAAGTCTTAAAAATGATGACATTCTCATATTCAAGAAATGCTGCGATCTGGTTAACACAGTGAACTGGAAACACTGCGGTACTAGGCTCAACTTTCCTTTTCAAGGAGAGAAAGAAAAGATCTATTGTATCCCTTGGCATCAAAAGAAGAAAGATTAATTCACATATAAACTTTTTGTTTATTTGTCAATAGTTTTATGTTTTAGAGCAAATTTCATATAAATACTAATTTGATTCGTAATTTGTGGTCAATTCGTCAACTTCAGATTTGTTTGATCTACACTACGGAGCTTTGATCAGGGTATTGTTCATCGAATGGTACATAATATGTCACCATAACGCGTGATATGTAAGAGAAACTAGTGAAACAATACTTACAGTCATAGTGGGATCTTCATTAGCCCGGTTTCCGCGTGGATGAAACATTCCGTTGTGCATGTAAGAGCGTTTGGGTTGGACACCGTGAAAGAATGCATAAGATATATTTATGGGATGAATTACTATTTTACATTTAATCAAAATTCTACAAATGATGGTAGATTTTTGTTAGATTAAATTTTGCAAATTCTTACTCATATTTCACATCACCTTCCTGCTTGGTATTTCATTCCTCCTTACTGAAGAGCCATGGAAAACCACATATTTCATATTCATACTCAATAATGCATAGAATACATTGATGGACTGTTTTAATGTTTTTAACCTCAATCAAAATTTAATGAATAATTGAATTTGCTTTTAGCGGTCCTGATGTCGCTGTATTGTCTGTAATTGTGAATGCATGGTAAATGTCTGTACTCGATAAACCGTTTATTTGTGAAAATCATTCAATTCTTTAGGCTACGGTCATCTATACAAACTAATTTGATATGTAGTAGAGCATAAAAATCTAAAATTTAAGAACAGTCTTACTAATTATGTTTAATTCATAGGAGTAGGGTTATACAAACTTATAAATGAACAAAATAAGAGGGGGACCAGAAATGATCCTTGCTTAACTCCCATATAATTATTTATTTTGACTTAAGCTCATGACATATATTATGTGGTGTCCCTATTAGTGCATTTAGTCCTGAAAACACAATTTAAACTTTACATTACAGCTGTATTTGCCAAATCAGAGCTAAATATATTTTCCGAGCTATAGTGTGTCGGCCATCTTGGATTTTTGGGGGAAAAAGTAAAAAAATCCATTGATCACAGGGACAGATTTTTTTAAAAAGGTTTGAAGTAGTAGAAAAGCAAAAGTTTATACTTGTATCACCATCTGAAATATTCTGCCAAATATAGGGGTAAATTCCCCCCACTAATTGGATATTTTGTAGGTTTTCTCTAAATAAATCAGAATATCTTGTTCATTAAAGTTCTTATGATGCACTTTTCAAAATCTCAATGACAAGACAAAAATATAAAGAATAGGGATGAAGAAAAATTAACAAGAAAATCATACAATCTTATTCACAAATTGAAATCATGGTATAAAAAAGTACTGTGGTGCCATATGCCATTTTCACAGTTTATGGTACCATAGCTAAAATGATGCTTTACAACACCATAAAAATGGTAATGGCAGATGTGATAAAAAATAGTTTTTCTAAAAAAGTAACTTATTTATTCCCATTGTTTATTCACATGTAATAATTGTATTCTAAGATATATGTTATGGAATAATAATATAAGGGAATGCATGTAATAAATTTTTTTTCAGAATCATGATAAAGTACTTGAACTTCTGAACAAACTTCTAGTACAAGTCTTGTCTCAGGCACCAAGTCCCCAGTCTAACAAGGACAGACTTAATCAGATGGCCATCTCAATTGCAGAAAGGTGTGTATTGAATAGTAGTTGCTATACCCTACATCCCTTTGGTTTGAACTTTACAAAGTGTCACACACAGGTTGCCTTTTGGGTAGGCAAAACAAAACATTTGATTTATGTACATAAATATTACTCAAGACAAATTTTACTTAATAGGAATAGACAGTATAAAATGCTCAAATTAAGACATATTACATAGACAATTCTGATGTAAATTTGTTTAAGCCATGTAAAAGGTGGTGAAATAATCTAATTCTACTTGCAGGTACAGAGCATTAGGCCACGAGGGAACAGTCTCAAATACCAGTACATTCTACCTGCTCTTAGATCTGATGACGTTCTTTGATCTCTACCACACAGGCAAACCAGATCAGGCCATAGATGTGAGTATTGTATACCTACTCTACTGAAGAGGTATATAACGTGCGTGAATATATCTGTATTATATATTCCATACCTACTCTACTGAAGAGGTATATAACGTGCAGGAATATATCTGTATTGTGTATACATATTTCCCTCGGAATCGTCTGATACACTAAGGGATGATGTCAAAATGTTGACACTTTAGATACAATGAAGTTATTTTTATAGTTTTATCCTCCCATTTTACACTATTGATTTGTTGAATACTTTGAACCAGAACTCATATCAAGGATATACAGTATTATTAAATCTTGTAATATTTGACTTAAAATACTAAATAAACTCTACATTGTAAAAGTCAATGTACACATATTTAATTACACTGGCAAATATTCTCTTTGTTCATTTTTTTCAGGCCATGCAGCATTTGAAGCTTTTGCCATTCACCATGGAGGATGTAGACACCAAAGTTAATAACTTCAAACACTATACAGATGAGGTAACTATACATATCTTTTATATCAGCATTGTTTTTGGAACCAGCATTTGGTGTTAGCAGTTCAGTTTATTGCATTGACAGAATTTTATTAAAAGGTCTATTTAATGTGATTTTAAAAGATTAATGTTACACTAAAGTTCAGAAAATGTTCTGTTAAATATATGACTTGAAAATGGGACCGATTAGAAATGCAGTTTTCAAATGAAGTATTCTGTCTGTACTAATAGAAACTTGTATACTTACAGGTGCGTAGAAGTCTCCCAGATGTCTTATTAGCCACTATGAATATACTGTACACTCAATACAAACACATACGGTGAGTGATTTGATAAAATATGTTTTGTTCTGCATATCAGATTTGCTACTCAATTGATGGAGTTGCTTTTCTACTAGCCTTGCTAGAATAGCATTTTTATCTCCAAAACTACAATTCTCGGCACTATGCAGTTTATAAAAGATGACTACTACTGACTTGCGATCATGATAAACATCTATGTCTATCCCTGAATTCCTAGTTGCAGCTTCTTATATTCGGAATACATTTTAATTTAAAATTCTTGATTCATCATCATTCAGCTGTCTTCTTTTCAGTGAATAAATCTTTAATGGAGTATATGAGAGCCGATTGTATATATAATCTACTCCAATGTTGTTATTTCAGAACCAGTGGTGCTCAAGGTCAAAGTTCACTGATAGGGCGAGGCCTAGTGGCGACATCTAGTGATGGTGGCAAAGAAACAGTTAGTATTTACACTTATTAGATAATATACATTTTGCTTTTTGTAATAGTTTGTGTTGAATTTATGTCACCACCAGAAATGGACATATTGTTTCTTCAACTTTTTTGCGGCCGGTGTCTGTAACAGCGTTCGATGGTATGCATCTATAACAAATGGCAGGTAGTGACATTTTGCATGTTAATGCCTTGTTTTTATACGGCACAGAAACTCCCCTGAAAATTGATTTTTAGTATCACACAATCAATTTAATTTTTGTTTTTGAGATGCAATGTGTAAGATGATTGCTGCTGCCACCTATCAAGTAGGAATTAAGATATTGGATTATTTTATTCTTTCAGTTTATCAACTACCTGAGGAGCCAGGCCAAATCTCTCATTACATTTGCTGGTATGTTACCATACAGAATGCCTGGGGACACTAATGCCAGACTGGTTCAAATAGAGGTCCTTATGAACTAGACAATGTACATTGCCTGTATATGTACATATTATATCACTGTTTGGCAGTTTGGTGTAAAGTTCTAATGATGGATACATGGACATATGTCAGATTTGTTCAAATAGAGGTCCTCATTAACATTATCAAGGCTTATGTACATTGCCTATGTACAATATAAGGTCTTAAGGATGGAAACATGGACACATTGCCAGATTCGGTGAACTCTATGTAGTCTGACTTAACATCATATTGACAAATATGTTGTGTTTGGCTGCTGTGAATATGTATTAAAACAATGTGAGAAACATCCACTGACCACTCTGGTGATTGGTGATATTGTCTAGATTGCAAAATTTAGTAGAGATCATCATGAACTAGATTGACATTGTAGACATTATTTTATGGATTCATGTTCATTCAATGCATAATACATCTTCAGAGGACAATAATACATTTCCTCCTAGGGCTGGGGAAAGAACAGAAGCTAGCAGTAGAGACAGAGTATAGAAAAAGACTATACTAGCTTACTATTACTTTTCCCTAGGCTTCTGGGTCTCCCTGTGTGCCACGGTCCCTTAGAACTAGATATATATGTCGAGTGAAACAGAGGTCATGAACATTTTTATGGGCACAATTGCATTGGATTACGATGAAATTTCAAAAACTACAGTGATATTGATACAAGGAATTTGATAACATCATCTTATAATGAGACAATATTTTTATACACCTTAGTAAGAAAATTACATTTGATGTAACAGATGTCTTAGACTAAATAAATATGTGCAAAATACTGGATACTTCTACTTCTTTTACTTTGAACAGTAGATCAAATTGCAAGTAAGATAGGGGATTTATCAGTCAGTACACGAACTGTTATATATTTCATTGATATTGGTGATGAATAATTCCATCAAAGATCAACTTGCTATAACAGTAGTTTACCAACCCATGTCTGTCTGAGTGAAGATTACAATGTCTGTCTGAGTGAAGAACACCATGTCTTCTGTCTGGGTACAAAAAACACTGTCTTTCTGAGTACAAAAATACAATGTCTGTCTGAGTGCACCATCAGCATGTCTGTCTGAGTGTGAGAACACCATGTCTGTTCGAGTCCAAAACATCATGTCTCTCACAACAAAGTTAATCCATCTGTCCCAAAAGAGCTGTCATTTGATTCAGTCAGTGATTGTATGCACTTCTTTGGGTTTAAATGGCTATGCTTGAACCCATTAATATAACAACCAGATTGAAAACTCAACAAAAATCATGGTCAGTTTTGATTTATAGTTTATTAATAATAGCATAAAATACATCTGTACAATTCAATACTTTTGATCTCTGGACCACATTACTACTTTGAAATTTGTTCCACACAAATGCGAAACATTACTTGTGAGATTATGAATTAGAAATTTGAGGAATTTAAAATGAAACATACAAAAATCTCCATGGGAGTTACATTGACATTAGTCATTACATTTTGACTGGTTGGATTTCCCTTTGAGACATACAGAGACATCTTTTGACAATTACAAGGACGGCATTCAAGTAAATCTGCAATACATTTAGACAATGTACAATTTCGAGTCTATAAATAAACGGATACATTTTCGTAAAAATAAAATATACATACATGTATGATTTGATGGATGGAGTACTATTTGAGTGATATGACAAGGCAAAATTTGTAGCCCTCATTACAAGGTAGATTTGCAGCACACTTGTTACAAAAATGAAATAGTTTCTAGACACTTTAATTTGAGAAATTATGCAAGATTCATGGAAGAGGCAATTTGTGAAAATCGGAAGTACACTTGTTTGTTTTCAAGTTTAACATGAATTAACTTACAACCAACAAGATTTTTGAACAAAGGTAAAAATGAGGTTAACAAAGAGTTTAATAGTGTTCTCAAAGAAAAATGGGCCAACTCTCCAAAGTAAAGGCAGTTGGTTGGTTTGCAATTTTAGATGGATGAACTAGAATGAATCAAAAAATGGTTAATAAAAGTATTGTCTTTAGATCCTCCGCTTAATAAGTTATAAAATCAGTCAAATTATTTTTCTATAAATATCAATGGATGATCACGCTTAGTACTCTTGAAGGTGATGGCTGCTACAATTATTTAAAGCTCTCATAGTCAGGACTTATCTAGTCTTATCTAGAGTTTAACACCTCAATTCAAAAGTCATTGAAAATTTAGGTTCATAACATTTCAGTCAAAATACAATTGTAAAACTACCTTGATCTCTAATCACCTAGTCATATAAAATGTCTTTTGGAGACTTTAAATGGAATATCACATTTTGAGAATTTGGAGTATAGATGGCACTACCATACATCCACATGTCATAAATTAATGCCTCTTTGGAGCGACGACCCCTGCTTACTGGAACCTCGTCTATGACTTATATACATGATATGAACTGTTTAAGAGTTAATTGAGTCCTGTGTTATTTATCTGGATGTGAGCCACTACCAGGACGTAAGGAAGTAGCTGCAGGTTCCCCGAGGGCACCTAGTGGCGTGATTGTAAACCCTGAACTCAGATCTATGGTATCGCCCTCTTTTACCTATAATCAAAAAATGACTTATATGAAATATAAATATTTATGTGTTTTGGAGTTGGCTCAGATCACTAGATATTCATACAGTTAAATCTATCTCGTAAGTGATGTATAGATGGCACAAGTGCATAGGTGAGTTAATTTATATGGATCATGTGATAAGGATGAAATGTCACGTGACTACATCTGGCGGGAATCAGTTTGTGAACTCATACCATGGAAAGCCCACCAGCCTCCCCAGCACCAACCAATGTAATGACAGGTTAAGGTACTACAAGTGAAGTAAGTACAAGCATATATCATGTATTGTAATATATTTCTTAGCGATAGGGACCCCTTCGGTATAAGAATATAGCATTAAATTGAGATAGATTAACTAATGTTTCTATAAGAAATATGTTGAAATCATGTAAACCCAATAATTGATATAACATATTGGGTTAAAGTAGTGATCAAGCGACTCCAAACCGCACACAACTCAAATAAATATAAATAACAGTTTAATATTATTTGCTAATTAATATGACATATTTTGTGCAGCCTTATTTCAAACAGGGATCCACTAGCCCTGGAGAGGGAGGGAGAGGGGAGGGGGACAGAGAGAGACCAGTAAAGTAACTATGATTGGAACATACACGTATATTATTACTACTTGACATCTATTTGATTCAAGGTACTGCTCCTTCATAATCACTTGCAAGGAAAAACTTATTTCTAAACTATACCCCTGGGCTTTTATTCTACATCAAGTAAATCAAATACAATATAATAACATTGTTGGCGAAAATGTTAATCTAGTTTAAACCTCAAATAATCAAAATAAAAATGTATGACTTATTGAACAATATAAATTACTTACTGCTTTATAATCTAAGAACATTTCTTTAAATGCTAAGAAATCACTAAATGTCAGGAGCATGTCAAACACTTCTCCCTCTAAATCTTGTTTTCTGGATCTGAAAGTAGGAGATGAAAACATAATTTACAACATCATTAATTTATCATCCAATATACTCAGAAATTACTGTCTTTGTCTTTAATTATATATGGGATAAGGTTTTAGCTAATTCTATCTCTGACTGTCACTTTGATAGGGTATTGTTTTCATAATTCATATTAAATACAAAAAATTAATTGTTAAGAGCCTCTAAGGCTGAAGGACTATTGGCCCCCTCGGATCTTTTACATGCAGTCTTGTAACTGACATCGCATGAAAACTGGCACCTTACAGTTAACATTAATCAAGGAAGTTTGTATTTTATTAGAAAATGATTATTAATTTAAATTATTAATATGATTATTACATACAAGATTTAAGACATTGCAGATATTGACGACTTACATTAATTGTTTTGAGAATTCATCCATGGAAAATCCTGGCATTCTTTCATTGAGCTCTGTGTCTAAGTGTTTTTCCACTAATTCTAACTGCAACGCAAAATAATAAATCATCAATAAATAGTGAATATCACTGTTAATGCATTCAGCAATGACTGTTAATTGATATTTTCTGAATGATATTTCCAATATCAGATTGTAGTGGTAAAAGAAATGCATATATTCATTCACATTCTTGATCAATATCCAATAATGTACTATTAAGTATTCCAATAATTATTCAATTGAAAAATGTTTAATGCTCGCAATGCGGTACATGCCTGAAGTACATAAAGCCGCAGTTTTGTAAAATGTTTTATCCCATATTTGGACATGTTTGAGGTACATAAAGATGATATGTAGAATGTTACATTTTCAACAGCAGACAGGATATAGCTTTACATCCTGGCTGAGTGGGCAGATAAACATGAGAAATCATATCTGTACAATTTGTAACATTTCCCATTAGCCTACTTTTTTATGGTGAATCATTAAAGCAACAAAAGTGACTAGAGTGTAAAATGTTGGAAGTATCATTTTCAATGAGCATTCCTGTATACCCTTACAATCCCACTTTGTTTTTTAAATGAATGGTTATCTTGAAAAAAACATCAACTGTTAGAGTATAGAAGAAATTGTAAGATTAAACAGGCTTGACATGGAACAAATGTAAAATGATGACAATTTTTTCTAAAGTTACTCTCAACTGGCCTCTAGTCTTTCAAAGAAAAAGCATTTCAAAATAATTCACTAAAAGATAACTTACATATTCTTTATGTATATCAGTGTAACAAAATTTATTTTCTTCTGTATCCTCAAATTCTCTATAGTATTTATCCATGAAGCAGGCCTGCATGTTTTGGAACTTGTCCTCTGAAAAATAAATATGAAATGAGCCATTTATGAAAACTAGAATAAGAAGAGTATCAGTATTTATGCCGCTATCTGAAATTTACAGCCTTTGTGGTTGGTTTTGGACATTTTTGTGACTCGAGTGAAGCACAGTAAAACCTCTCTGAAGTGAATAATGACTCTAGTCGTTCCAATCTTTCATATTTTGAGTTCCTCTCTCGTGTAAGTGAGGTGTTGACTTACAGTAGTTCTTCATTATTTGACAAATACATGACATTAGATTATATCACAATGTACATTTAAAGTGACTTTCTTACACTTCAGAGGCCGAAATTGGGGATTTCAAGAAATACTTTTCAAGAAAATAGTCTTACCTTTCTATTAGGATGGGTTCAGGTGCCAAAATTAGCTGATCCATGAATATATATCATTTTGAAAATTGGAAGCAAGAATTTTGTTTTGGAAGCCATGTTTTTTTGACATTCATGACAGGAAATAGATTCTCAAAATGAAAACTGGATTAACAGCATTAATTCTGAATTTGGCTTAGAATATTTACTCAGATATGTATTGTAATATTATTACCATGATTATTGACTACTATTTAATAATTGTGGTGTAGAGGTAAAAACATTTTTCTGAAATTAAGAATGAATACTAAAAATGCATCATGAAAGTTGAGCTGAGGCCGTGGCAGAGTGGTTAGGGAATCAGTCTTGCAATCTTGATTTTGCAGGTTCGAATCCCAGCCATGGCATATCATTTTTTCTTTATCTCTGAGCCACAATATTTTCTCTATCTCATTTTTTATAGCACAGTGTCATATTTATTCTTTTTTGGGGGTTTTAAAATATAGGTAAAATGTCTATGTGTGGCTTTAACATATACATGTACAATTTATGTCTCTACAATCCAGCATTTTTAAGTCATTACAGACTATCATTTTCTTTGTTACAAACATTTCCTGAAAATACCAGCTTCGTAAAACATTGCTCATCTAGTAAGCTACATGACATTATCATAAGGGCTGCATTTATCTCTTGTCATTTCTAAAAGTGTATTAATTTAGTTACTATTAAAATAATTTGTCATGCGTCTTCACAGAAAAAAGGTTTCTAACATAGTCTTTTGATGGTGCAAGATCTACAGGTCATTCTAATATTTTTTCAATTCTTGGTATCTCTTAAAATGCTAATAACAAAAATACTAACCTATAATTATGTCTTCTATGTGCCCAACTGTGATGTCAAACTTTGTGTCTGCTATACTGGAACTAAAATAAAAATGAAAAACAATGAATTATGTTATATTGATAACTAGAAAAACAGCAACTCCACGGAGTAGCAAATCCCACCGAACAAAACATATTATGCTTATTATAGCTAGTGTAAATGTTGAAATGTTTGTGCACTTTGTGATAGAAGCATGAAATTTGGCACAAAGTTAGTTTATACCATTGTGAACTAGGCATCATCATATAAAATTTGAACCAAATCCGTTCACTGGTCTCTTGAAATTCAGCCGCCATCTTGAAAATTATTTCTTGAACAGAGCTACTGTGTCCCTAGGCATAATCATATAAAATTTCAACCAAATCTGTTCACTGGTATTTGAGTTATCAAAGATTACGTTTTTTACGAAAGATTGCCGCCATTTTGAAATTAAGCGGCCATCTTGAAAATGTTTTGTCGAACATAGCTACTGTGTCCCTAAGCATCATCGTATAAAATTTGAACCAAATCCGTTCACTGGTATTTGAGTTATCAAAGATTACATATTTTTACGAAAAATGGCCACCATTTTGAAATTAAGCGGCCATCTTGAAAATCTCTTTTTGTGCGAAATTCCTTTGTCCCTAGGCATCAGCATATAAAGTTTGAACCAAATCCGTTCACTGGTATATGAGTTATCAAAGATTACGTTTTTTACGAATATGGGCCGCCATCTTGAAATTCAGCCGCCATCTTGAAAATTATTTCTTGAACAGAGCTACTGTGTCCCTAGGCATAATCATATAAAATTTCAACAAAATCTGTTCACTGGTATTTGAGTTATCAAAGATTACGTTTTTTACGAAAAATTGCCGCCATTTTGAAATTAAGCGGCCATCTTGAAAATGTCTTGTCGAACATAGCTACTGTGTCCCTAAGCATCATCATATAAAATTTGAACCAAATCCGTTCACTGGTATTTGAGTTATCAAAGATTACATATTTTTACGAAAAATGGCCGCCATTTTGAAATTAAGCGGCCATCTTGAAAATCTCTTTTTGTGCGAAACTCCTTTGTCCCTAGGCATCAGCATATAAAATTTGAACCAAATCTGTCAACTTGTATTTGAGTTATCAACGATTACATTTTTTACGAAAAATGGCGGCCATTTTGAATTGAGCGGCCATATTGAAAATTCCTTCTCGAGCAGAGGTCCTACACTCATAAGGCATAAGCCTATAAAATTTGAATCAAATCCGTGAAACGGTATTTGAGTTATCGCCCGGACAAACAGACGGACGGACGGACAGACGGACGGACGGACGGACGGCTTTCCTATATCCCTCACGAACTTCATTCGGTGGGATAAAAATTGATGAGTCAAAGACAATGCATATCATGTGATAATTCTAACATTGTAGCATTAAGATGGTGATACATCAGTCTTTAACCTCCTGAAAACTATGTACAGGGAGTCCCGAAAGTATGGGGTCCCCCCTAGGCAGACATATACCAGTATATAAACTTTAAAATGATATATGACACATACTATGACGACACTGGTATATGTCTGCCTAGGTGGGGCCCCATACTTTCAGGACACCCTGTACATTGTATCAATTAACGAAGATAATGTAAGGTTCTGAAATTGTTGAATGATAAAATGCCCTTTCTAGTATTGCTCAAATTAATGTAACAATAGTATGATACTAATGAAAAGTGGAGTCAGATGTAGCAGAGGTTTTGCTTTGCTGGCTTATATATATTCTATTTGAAGCTACAGTATATGATATTCTCCCATTCAGGCTCTGGACAGATCCTTATTACCTGATTTTTCCAAAATGCTAAATTTGCTTTGAAAACCGTACAATAGCCATGAAGATATGGAATGGGAATTTCTATTTTATCACCTAATCAGCTTGGAACTTCCCAATCCCTAATTCTGGGTCAGGTCACAATTCTGAGATATCAACAATGTAAACAAGAGACAGAAAACTTTAGAGAAAATGTCTGTATTTCTGTAAATTCACAGACTGAATCTCATGAATCACCGGCATGACATTGTTTTATACAAAATAGGTCTGAGACCATTTTATAAGTACTACATCTATAACGCCGTTCTTTTGCAGAAAAGTCAACATTCTTTTTAAAAATATCTTAACCACTGTTCACTTTCATGGGAGATCTATATATTTACCTTGATGTAGCTAGCTCTTCTTCTTGGAAGTCCATGGGTTCAATGAGATCTTGGCCATCTGAATAAAAACAGAATTTTATTAGTATTTTGTATTTCTGTACTCAGATTGGTAATATTCTCATGCTATTGTATGTACAGGGTGTCCAAGAACTCATGAGAATTTTTTGAGGGAGATGGGTGATTTTTCTTAAAATTTGGTACACTTATTAAATACACTTTGGGGAATAACTGACATGAATTTCAGACACATATCTCTTATATTTCCGAATTTATTGACATTTGAATTCTGCATCGCCACAAACCCCGGAGTTATCGGGAAAATACAACAGTTTATGTCCCATTTTGTCAATTTTATACAAATTCTCAACTATAAAACCAACGTTTTTTGTATGAGCTTAGTTGAAAGAAATGTCCCCATTTGCTAGCCAATATGATCTTGCATATTGACAATGCACCAGTGAATAAGTCACTACATGCAGGTCAGTAGTGCATCCAATTTACTTTCTATTGAGACTTCACAGTATATAGTAGCTCCATATACTTGCCAGATTTTGCTCTTCTAGACTTTTGATTTCTTTGGGGACCTTAAACAAAGATAAGTGAGCCATGTCACTGAAACGGAGGATGAATTACCCAAATGCGAGTAGGTAGTTACCAGTTTCACCACCAGGTGGCTGATTCGGGTCAATTAACATGGCAGGTATATAAGAAAGTTCCCTCAAACTTGAATATTATCAATTTGAGTGGCTCAATTTTAATATAACCCTTATGTGCCTGATACTTATACTAATGAAACTATGTCCAGTAAAGCAAAATATTATCGGTCCACTAAAAGAAAAGATATTTCATTTTTTGTGATTTTATAGCATGGGGTCTATGGGGAATCTCCCCGAGCTAGAAGTCACATTTTCAAAAAAAATCAATTTTTCAAAGTTGATAAACACTTTTTAAAACCACATTTCTAGATGTAATTTTACATGTAGATTTCAAATGTGATATTACTTTGACTGAATTTTGAATTTTTAATGACGTAAATCAAGATTATTTCTACTCGCATCTGGGTTATTGAGTCATTTCGTTTCAGAGGACCCTACAGAAATGGCTATTGGACGATTTGGGAATGTGTATATAGAGTAGCTGAAAAGACGACATCAACTGCAGATAATATGCTATAATAACTCTGTGGAGATATGTTAGCTGAATGTGTATGATCCTATTAACTAATGTACTGAAACGCTGAAATAATTCAATGAAAACAATGCTATTAGAGTAGAGAAGTTGTGTAAATATTATCAAAATGTGACGTAAATTGTTGTATTTCTCCGACTACTCCAGGGTTTGTGGCGATGTAGAATTCAAATGTCAATAGATTCGGAAATATAAAAGATATGTGCCTGAAATTCATCTCAGTTATTCCTCAATGTGTGTTTAATAAGTGTACCAAATTTGAAGAAAAATCACCCATGCCTTATATCTCCCTCAAAAAATTCTCATGAGTTCTGGGACAAACTGTATATGCTATTGATTTTCATGGTTTTTGTATCTCTTTAATAAAGGACCCACATTCCTGTGCTCACAGAGTGTTTTGTGCAGCCAATGATGATTGACTTTATACATGAGAAAGTTCCCTGAAAATGTCCTACTTTTTGTCAAATTTTATAGAGTAAACACCAAAAACTGTAATTTCAAGAGCTTTGAAATCTTCAGAGAACATAAGTTGCATATACAGCAACTACTACAAGTTATTTGAAAGTTCTACTTCAACAAAGTGTCTAGTATTTACAGAATATTTTACTTTTTGACGTCAAAATCAGCAATTTTTCGGAAACCGGGCGAACTTGGGAAATGGCGATGATAGGACAAATAGGCATTATGGATATGCATAAAATGAATGTGGATTATGACTCAATCCTAATAGCAGTTTTAATTTGTGCGGCCAACGTTGACGGACGGACAGACCAACGGACGGACGGACGCCTGGTCGATCCCATAGGCTCACCGTGTGAGCCAAAAATCCACAGTAATGAAATTCCAGCAGTCTTAATTCGCAAAATATGACATTCACCAAATTTCAAAATATTTAGTAATCCATAGATTACTGATATAGGGCCTACGACTCGGGTAATAGCATTGTCATGCAATATTCAATAAACTAATATGCGATAGAAGAAAACATGGTCATTTACATAAATATCTCCCGCAATGCATGGCTTCAAGTGGGACAAATTTTCATAAGTCCATTGATTAAACCAAATTGATACAAGTCAAACATGAAATCAAACACACATTATAAATATGAGAACTTGCTTCTTGATTTATATTGAGTCATTAGGTCTCAGCTTCCAGGAATTAAGTTGGTGACATCAAAATTAAAACATTTCATGATTATTGTCAGTTTCAAAAAATATTTCTGAAGATGTAGAATATACTTTTATAGATTATGCAAATATGCATGAAGAAGAATGTCAAATAAAGCTAAAATGATGTATTCGAAATCAGACCCTGTATATTTCAACAGGAAAAACCCCAGATGTAAAAGATCTGTAACAAGAATTCAAGTAGAACCATCACATATTAGTCTATTGATACCAATTAGTCAATTACTGTTCATGCCTTTAAGAGCAATACTGCTTTGGGCAAAAGTCATAGAGAGAGTGAGAAAAGTATAATTTCCAGTAGTTTGATTTTGCTCCATTATAAGATTGCTTCATATGCATTCTCTGGCCGAGCCTTGAACAATTGGAATTCTGAGAATATGGTCACTAAATTTTTGTATATCTTGGTTTGCTTCTATTATGTATGGCCTTTTATATCTAAATGCTTCTCTGCCATGTTATTTTCGAAAAAATTAACATGGCTGAAACTTAACAAATTACAAAAGACAAGAGCTTTGCACACCATACAAAACTATTTGAAATACACAAAATTTAGGTCTTGTACATATGTTTCTATTTTTCATATACTGTTGCAATGCAGTCATCTGATTGCTTTTTTAGATTCAAATCTACTGTTTCCCTGTGACAAATTTTTCACTTATTTTATAGCTGAGATCTTCTCTCTATTTCTACTTGTTTGGTTTGAGTAAATGACCTATGTATGGACGCAGTAATTTGACATACGGAATTGGTTTTTCACTTGATTCGGGCTAGCTCTTGTGTGTCCAAATAGCATTGTAATACTGATGTCACATTTCTGGAATCACCGGAGCACCATTCAGATTTGGACAGACAAGAGCCCGAAGATAAAATATCACTATTTTGGCCTCTTAATCTTATCAACGCAGGATTGCTTGAAAACCGTTCATTAGTGATCAGAAAGGTAAAGAATAACAAGACACTTTGAATGAGGTTCATGTATGATTTGTCTCATATTTTTCTTAAATGGCTGCACAATTGTCATTTTAAAATTTGAAATTTTCTTAGTGACGTATCTTCCGAATTACTCTTTGAGCTTCTGATCCTACTACAAAAGAACCTGGCTGGGATCTATGTCTCTAAGCTCTGGGGATTTCCCCCGGGATTTCCCTCCTCTTATTCTACTGTAGTTCACATCGTTGAACTAAATAACGGCGTTCTTTACTATTAGAAATTTTCTTGGCCGTTATTGGCTAGCCGCGGCTGATATCATATAAGAAACGAGGTCCAGGCTACAGGTCTGTTGTAGGTCTAATTGTTGTTGGGCTAAGTTAGATTAATTCTGCTGAGAACCAATTGGAAAATAAGATTCCAGTTTATAGAATTGGTCATCGAAAGTGACAGTGGCAACCAAGCATCTATCATATTTGGGAAATCTACACCTCTAGAGTGACAGAGTGACTCCAGCGAGTTCCAATGCACGTGACTGATGTCTGTCAACTTTTGATTGTGATTTGTGAACGAGAACGACGAAAAAAATCAAAAAAATAGTTTTCATCAACATCAATTTTTGATGAAATCACCTCTCTAAAACTAATAATATACCATATCCATATGTTAAATATTAAACAAAGAAACGATGTATGTACAATTCTAGGATATGCACATTCAGAATACGAAGGAATGAGTCTAAATGTAAAATCGCTTACCTTTTCCGTCTTCCGCCATATTTGAACGCTATGGAATCCGCGAAGCCCATTTTCCGGTTCCGGTGCATGTGTACTACAACACCTACATAAAGTTAAAAAGTACCCTTTATGGCACGAAGCGTCGGTGGTGTAAAGGTTAGCATTGATGCCTTCCAAGCATTAGATCCGGGTTCGATTCCCGGCCGACGCATGTTTTTTTCTTTGGGTAATTTGCCATCACATAGATCACATTTTTGCATTTCTGAATATAATTCGAGTATTATATGTTAGTTTTTGGCACATTAATTAATATCATTGGTAGTTATATTACATCAAGATAAAGATGTAAGGAATGTGCTAACATCGATTAAAACATTACAACGAAGTGCTGTATTTGTAACTAGCTTGTAAAAATTTTGACAAATGAAGGTGGTAAGCAAAATACATAATTTTGTCTGGCATCTCCAGGGGCGGATCTGGGAACCAACAAGGGGGGGGGCCAAATTTAAGGTCTGAGAAAAAACATCCGTGCTTGAGGGAAAAAAAATTTGGGCACCTAAACCCAAATTTTGAGGCCCATTTTCTTCAAAATTTGGCCTAAAACTAAAAAATAAGACCTAGAAGGCCAAGTAATGACCAAAAAGGCCCACTTTAAAGGGCCTTTAGGCCTTTTCTTGCCCATTTAAGGGCAATTGCCCTCCAATTGCCCAGATCCGCAAGTGATCTCTAAAGCTCTAGGGTTTTTCCTCCTCTTAGCATGAACTTAGTTACCCATATGCCATGAAGCGTCGGTGGTGTAAAGGTTAGCATTGATGCCTTCCAAGCATTAGATCCGGGTTCGATTCCCGGCCGACGCATGTTTTTGTTTTGTTCATTTGCCTTTTTCTCCATTCAAATTATTAAAAAAACATCCCTTTAGAAAGCCTAGCTACAGCTAGTACGAGGCTTTGGGCTCATTTTAAAGTCCTTTAATCTATTAATAATACCTTGCATTCCCTAATTTTCTAACATGCATATATACCAGTTGTCCTATTTCCCACACCTTATATTACAACTCCCCTCTTAGAGCATGTAGAGGGAACCCTGTTTATTCAAAATAAACATTAATACTACACAAATTCACTTTTTTCCCAAATTTTATTCATAAAACTATTTCCTTTTTAGCACAAATGAAACTATACAGAACATGTGTTGGTAAGGTAACCTGCTCTATATTTCCATCTTTGAATTATGTACAATAGGCCTATGTACCCATAACACTCAGATTATAAATTAATATTATATTATATCACAACAAAGGCTATCTTGGGTTCATGAAAAAGTTTGACTGTGTTTTTAAGTGCCAAGTCAGAGTACCTGAGTACTAGCCTACATTGTTTCATCTAATTCTCACAAGTTCCTGTGTGGCAAGTCTGAGTACTACATTGTGTTTCACCTCATTCTCACCAGTTCCTGATTGGCAAGTCTGAGTACTGCATTGTGTTTCACCTCATTCTCACCAGTTCCTGATTGGCAAGTCTGAGTACTACATTGTGTTTCACTTCATTCTCACCAGTTCCTGATTGGCAAGTCTGAGTACTGCATTGTGTTTCACCTCATTCTCACCAGTTCCCGAGTGGCAAGTCTGAGTACTGTATTGGTTTCACCTCATTCTCATCAGTTCCTGATTGGCAAGTCTGAGTACTACATTGTGTTTCACTTCATTTTCACCAGTTCCTGATTGGCAAGTCTGAGTACTACATTGTGTTTCACTTCATTCTTACCAGTTCCTAGTTGGCAAGTCTGAGTACTACATTGTGTTTCACTTCATTCTTACCAGTTCCTAGTTGGCAAGTCTGAGTACTACATTGTGTTTCACCTCATTCTCACAAGTTCCTGAGTGGCAAGTCTGAGTACCATATTAAAATCAGTGTCCAGATGGCACCTCCAGAATCGTCTCACCCTACCCCAGACTTTACTAGGGAAACAGGGACTGTCAATGCCATGGAATATTCTTGCTATACAACGAGCTGTCAATTTGTGTTCCTCGCCATGGACTTGAATGAAAGCTCGCACATCAGCTCTGATCTGTCCATCGTTTTCACAACGTACCTGAAAAGAGATAAACATAACTTAGTAAAGGGAGAATTAGAGATAGGGCTATAATCTGATAATAGAAATATACATGATATCTTATTAAATGGTAAGATGTTCATGAGTGTTTTCAGAGACTTTTTAAGTTTGACTCCATCAACTACCAATTGCAAAATGAAGGCTTAATCTGCAATCTTTTAATTTTCTATACATGCGCTCAAAAGATAAACGAGCTAAGAACTTTCCAATCCAACACTAAAATATAACACAGTCAAAACCACAAGAGAAAGGTAATGTACTACTAGGATTTCTTATATTATTTTCTACAATGTAACTTTCTACATTTAGCAGTCTAGGGATAAGGTATCTGGATTTGAATTTGGCCTGTGTTTCAAAAATGCATGTTATTCAAAAATGACAGGCCAAAAGTTCGCATCCAGTGAAATGGTCCACATTGATAAGTGTAAAATAGAAATGTTCATCCCATGCTTACTGTCTGATCAAGGATACCATGCTGTGAAGAGGCCTCCACCTCGCGGGAAAATGACAACTTGCTGATCTGCCCAAGCTCAATTTCTGGTTGCCTCTCAAAGTATTCTCGTAGAATAGCTTTAAGTTCACAGCTCTTTTCCTGGTTTACTTCATCTGAGCACTCCCAGTAGTGTTTGTGTGATGTCCTGGAAATAAGCAAATACATGTACTGTGGCTCTACTTAATTTGGTGGCCATTTTTACTTCGAATTTGGTGGCTGCTTTTTCTGAGTGAGTCTTATGAGTCTTCATTTGTGGCGATGTCAAAATATGATTCTTTACATTGTCTAAGAAACAGGCTCACTCCTGTCAAATTTGCCAATTTCACAGCTATTTACTCTTCCTGCCAAATTAAATCTTCGCCAATTTTCCAATTTTGCCAAATTTTGTATTGCTGTAATTTCTGGCATTGGAGCACAGCCAGGCACTGCACCTTTGTACTACTCAGGCCCATAGCCAGGATCTTCCAAGGGGGGTTCACTTTAGACAATTTTGGTCCAAAAATGGCCAAAATCACTTACGAAGTGCTCAGAATGGTGAAACTGCATGATTTTTGGGTTCACTCGAACCCATCAAACCCCCCCCTGGTTACGGGCCTGCTACTTGATTACAATGACTAGATTCATCAGGATTCTTGTCACTCTGCATATATGACAGGATATATGAATGTCCAAAAAACAAGACCAAAGAAAAATCAATACCTTGAATTACTTAGTTCATTCAATGTAAATTTTGTTGGGAAACATGCTCCGAGTGGACACCTCCCCTATTGGATAAATTTGGAATTGGATAAAGAGAAGAGAGGTGCCAACTTGGAGCATGTTTTGTAAGGAACTGCAGTTTTTTGTCTCAGTAGGCAGATTATCATCAAACTTCCACAACAAAATTGACATTGATCAACTATCTGAACTTTTCAAGGCAGAATGAGAATATGCAAGATTGACTGAGTTAATCAATTTTTCTTCAGTCATGTTTTTTGGACAATGTATATAATATGATAAAGACTTACTGCTGAGAAAACAGCAGCATAAAATGCAACACAGCAACTAATGTCAGACTATTAACTTACTTGCGAAGAGAATCATTGAGATTCTTGAGTTGATATATTTCATTGCGTTCCTGCATAGTAACTCTGTCATGTAAGAAGTCAACAATTTCATCATATTCATCATCAGTCAGATCTCCCGGTGAAATGAAATGAAACGCAAGGTCAGAAAGCTCAGTTATCACGCCACTCTTTGATGGAGCACGTCCACCTGGAATACAAGTTATCAAGTAAATTCAGAGATTAAATGTCAAGTGCAATATGCATCAATCTGCCACATGCTTCTTTTATATCATGCACAGTTTATGTTAATTTATGTAGTCTTGCATCAATGCATTTGTGGGTCCCTCTTCATAAACATCCCTTTTCTGGATGTGAAGTATATAAGAGAGGGGGAATCCAGTTTTCATTTTAATTTCATATCTGCTTATCACAGTCCCCAAAATCTTGATTCAGTACCTGTTTTATCAAAGTCCCAAAACAATCCTGATTTAATACTGGTCATAAAAGTCTCCAAAATCCTTATCTAATACCTGTCTTATCAAAGTCCCACATAAGGAGTTTGAGTTCTTTCTTGACTGGCCCAGAGTCCCATCCCATGCTGTCAGCTATCTCTATGACATTGAACTCCAGTCTGTTGGTGTTCTTGTAGGAAATACCATCCTTCATATTCCTTGCAATAGCTGCAGCTACAGGGGGACACTAAATAAAAATACAATTTCATAATATGATTATTATTTTCACTACAGTTCAATTATTCTCTGTAATTGATACCTAACTGAAGAATTTGATAAATAATGATATTCTTGAGGGATTGATAATTTGGAAAGTACTGTAGATTGGGTTAATTTGGCGCCCGCTTTAATTTGGCGAATTTGGTGAAATTGAAAAATTCGCCAATATAAATCTTCGCCAAAATTTAGAATGAATCCCCGGGAATTATCTAGGGTATTTCGTCCAGTGTATTTAGGTCACTTCCGGTTTAGTTTTTTCCAAAAATAAGAAAAAATGTCTCTCATAAATTGGCTCAGAACTGGTCAGTCACTCACCAATAGTACTAAGGGAAAAACTAGGAAGGAAAAGCGTGGTATAGTAGCAGCATCGATCGAGGGGCAAAATGTAAAGGATGATCTTACATAAATGTACAAACGTGGTGAATATCACCAGTGGTCCTCAAAAGAAAAAATGAACATAGCCAAACATGCCCATTTACATGGTAGTTCGCAAACATCGCATAAGTTTAACTTTTTTTTGCATTTCCGCCAAATTAAATAGCCGCCAATATGCCAAAAATGGCAAAATCACCAAATTAAGTAGCGCCAAATTAACCCAATCTACAGTATAGATAGAATAAAATGAAAAAAAGAAAATCTTGGAAAAATGAATGAATTCCATTTAAAAATAATAATCAAATGATTGACCTTTTTAGCTATAGCCTGCAATTGT